CGGTGGTCAGAAGATCCCCTTATTCAAACCTCAGTAAAATACATAAACAGTAAAATCATTTGTTTGTTTCAAGTAAAGCCCTTCGTTTCTGGTTTAAGCCAAAGCTGTAGAACTGAGGGCCATTTGGTATATGCCCTAGATTGCAAAAGAAAAAGAGACAGCAAAGCTTTAGATACTCAGAAGAAATATTGTTTAAACTTTATTCCAAGGACTCAATTTCATTAAAAAACTCAACCCCCAAAAATAAATGACCTTATCTCTCAGGGTTCATGGCATTTATAATTCTGCAGTCAGTTAGATCCAAAGCATATGACCTCACATCCCTATTTTACTCTTTGATAGTGATGAACAAAATAGCCTTAAAAATCATAGTCAGCTGAAATTCAGTAAAGGCATCTGTCAGTACCATGATATTAGATTTGGGCCAGTATTTAAAAATGGGTAATTAGGAATCTGGCTCTTTTTGCTGTGATCCCGGCCAAAATCTCCCCATTGCAGGTGGTCTGTGGGAACTTGGTTCATGAAGGCTTTGATGTGGTTCTATTTATGTCTCTGTGTTAGACAATAACCCTGAAGCCATGGCTGCTGTGACTCTTCCAGACCAGCATCCAAAAACAAAGCACAGACCTCGTTTCTAAGAGACCTACAGTTCTGTATGAGCGCAGTGCCCAGAGCCCTCGTTGTGGATGGCCTTGCTGTTTGTTTCTGGTATCAGCCTGGCTGTTGAGACTACAGCCTAAGTGGGCTGCATCTGTTTCCCTGAAGCCAGAAGGCCAATGTTCAGTAGAGGGGTGGGCTAATACACACACTCACTACCATCAGATACAGTGTCACTGGTCCTATCAGTCACTGCAGAGCTTCATCAGCAAGGCAATGGGAGAGGTTCCTGTTGATAGATCTTAGCAATAAAAGTATTCCTTCATTTATATTTGCTGTGTTGTAAAGATCTCGCAGATAAAATTGCTTCATTGTATACTTAAAACCATTTTGGGGTATAGAAGAGATTTGTATTTTTTATTTTCATTTTCAGGTGAAGGAAGAAATCAGAAGGGTTAAGTGATTTGTCTAAGATCACCAGGCTAATAATTATTAGAAGGTCCAAGAACTATCCTCAGTTTTTCCATCTCTCTGTCAGCTTCTATTTGATATTCAGTCATCTGCTGTATGAATTAATAGAAAAGTGGCTGTGTAACAATAGCATTTAAGACTGTTTACCAATACATCTGACACAGCAGCATTCAGACTTCTGGTTGGCTCCTGCTATTGCATCACTGGTTCTACTATACTGATGGTCAGCCATGTAGCTTGTCAGTGTCACAGACTTAACAACTGACAATTAGAATCCTTGTATGCTTGCCCTGTCTGTAGGGGTTGGAGGAAGATGCAGGTAGGGGCGTATTTTCAGGTGGTTTGCGTTAGGTTTTTAGGGTCTGGATAGCATAAATTTTTTTTTTAATTTTTATTTACTTATGATAGAGAGAGAGAGAGAGGCAGAGACACAGGCAGAGGGAGAAGCAGGCTCCATGCACCGGGAGCCTGACGTGGGATTCGATCCCGGGTCTCCAGGATCGCGCCCTGGGCCAAATGCAGGCGCCAAACCGCTGCGCCACCCAGGGATCCCGGGATAGCATAAAATTTTTAATTGGATCACGTGGTGACAATGACTTTCTTGTTCAATTAGAAAACATACCATGCCAATGATTTTCAAAAACTATGGTGAATTGTAGAGACCTATTAAGAAATATTATGGGGTGCCTAGGTGGCTCAGGCGGTTAAATTCCAACTCTTGATATCAGCTCCAGTCTTTTTTTTTTAATTTTTATTTATTTATGATAGGCACACAGTGAGAGAGAGAGAGAGGCAGAGACACAGGCAGAGGGAGAAGCAGGCTCCATGCACCGGGAGCCTGACGTGGGATTCGATCCCGGGTCTCCAGGATCGCGCCCTGGGCCAAAGGCAGGCGCCAAACCACTGCGCCACCCAGGGATCCCCTCAGCTCCAGTCTTGATATCAGGGTCATGAGTTCAAGCTGTGCATTGGGCTCTGCACTGGGCTTGGAGCCTACTTAAAAAGAAAGGAAAAAAAAAATCACAAGGGCTTCTCTCAAATTCATGTACACATAAAATAACCAGCAACTTAGGGTAGCTGTTCATTAATGCTAAGGGGAGGACCAAAAAAAAAAAGGCTTACAATTTAGCAGGAGGGATCACAGTGAATTGAAGTGATCTTAGAAGACTTGGATTTTTGTAGTGGAAGTAAAATTCACATGCCATAGGTGATACAGTGGTGGGCATTCTAGATGATGGTTTGAAGATAACAGAAAAAATTGGCCAAAACATGGAAATGAATAAAGCATGCTGGAAATGTAATTAAATTAAATTAAATCCATTCCTCTAAACATGGGAGTTTATAATAGGGTGACAGATTGATGTTAAAAATTGGGAAGATTATGGGTGGCTCTAAATGCCAGTAGGAATAGTTGATTCTGTAGCTTTGAGGAAAGAAGTAGTTGAGTATTTTGAGATGATGCTGATATGTAAGAAGTAGCATTTTCCCTGGTGGCTGTGCCAAGATGGAATGAAGAAGCCAGGGGGAAACAGACTATCCCAAGAGCAACAAGTTAGCAAATGGGGCAGACATCCAGATGTGAAGTGACCAGTTGAAAAGCCTGCTGTCTGCTGCCTGTGAGGAGCAGGCTGGAAGGACCTAACCATGCACCCAGGGCTGGCTGCAGGAGTCCCTGTGCAGACACTGCACCAGCTTTAGTACACTTGCTCTTGGCTACAGCTTCCTTCCTCACACAGTTACAAATGGTTGCTATGGCTCAAAGGGAAGTTTTATTCATCTCTCTTTTACCTAGTCCATCAGGAGTAGCCTGAGAGATGATGGGGAACTTGGCAAACACTTCCCGTATGAATTAATTTCTTCCTATTTGGTGCCATCTTGTGTCACATTGACTCATCTTGAATCGAATTATATCACATTGAATTGAAAGGACCTGCATGCCTAATCCTTTGGCCCCTGGGCTCTGTGTCCTCTCTTCTAAGCCGTGTCTATCAGGCAGCTCTCTCAGTGCTGGGGGATGTGTGGGTTGTTGCTGGCCGTGCAGCAGTGGACACCACACCTGTCCTAATAATTGATCCATATGTGTTTTACAAGCAGTGCTTCCTTTTGGGAAATGATAGTATCACCGACAGAAGGAGGCATTGTTTGGGAGAGGTGAGTGCATTAGGGTCCCCAAGACCACCTGTTTGGAAGATTTGCTAGGATTACAGGAATCAGTAAGTATTACGGCTGTGATTTATTACAATGAAAGGCCACACAGCAAAATCAGCAAAGGGAAAGGCATATGGGGCAAAGTCTGGAGACAACCAGGTGCAACCTTCTAAAAGTCCTTTCCTAACAGAGCCACATGGGTTGTGACAACACATGTGAAAGATTGTCTCCTAGTCTCATTAAAGGCTCAGTGCCCAGTGTTTTTACTGGGGGGCTGGTTGCATAAACACCTCCTGCCTGGCACACACTCAAGTCCCAGACCTGCTAGAGGAAAGCAGGTGTGCAGCATAAACCACATTGTTTGTACCAACACATTAGATGTAGTGAGCCACTCTGAGCTGTTTGGGGGAATTGGGGAACTCTCTTGAAATCCAAGTTTCTACATACCAGCCAAGGGCCAACTTTGCGAGCTGGCCTTGTAAGGAGAGTGATCTCCAGCCGGCTGCGTCAACCCCCTTGTTCTTGGAATGATTGCTATCACTTCAGTTGCTGAGAAAGGGGGACTGGTGGAGAAATTTTTCAAAATCCAGGAAGGTCTGATGTTAAGTCATGTTTCTGGAAGTGAGATTTGAGTATGGGACAAAAGAAAAGGATTCAAGGAGGAGTCAGAGCATAGAGGGCTGAGAGCCATCCTGGTTTGTTTTGTGCAGGAGATGAGAGAAGCAGATGGAGAACATGAATGTGCTTTAGGAACTGAAGAGAATGGAGAGGCTGAAAATGGAGAAAGTGCTCCATAGTATATAAAATACTACAGACTGGTAGAAATTCTGGGGACTGCAGAAAAGTGCCATCGAGAATTCTTTTAATAATGTGTAAATTTTTTTTTTTCTTACAGTGATCTATACACATTAAGGCAAGACTTTTTCAGCCAGGACCTTAATAGCTTCCCTGCCCATTACATCTTTCTGTTTTCTTTTGATCACTTTACACAATCCTCTCTTCAAATGTTTTTTGTCATTGCCCTGCTTTAGTTTATTTGGGCTTATAGATGTCACAGGCAGATAGAAATGGATAAGCTTTGGGAGGACTAACCAAAGTTCTTTGAGCATTACTGCCTACTTCTCTCTGGTAATTATAAGGACAGCAGCCGCCAAAAAACATCTCTTCTGTTCTTGATGGATAAGTAATTCTGTTTATTCATTTAAGAGGATTGTGTTTGCTATTCCATTAATCTCATTGCTGCTTGCCAGTGAAAAATAAAAATTGAAAGCTGATTATTTTGAGTCCCAAGGGGATGGTGAAAGTGTTTGAATTTCCTACAACACCCTTGGACTCTACCCAGACCCTGATTTCTAGGTCCTAACTCTGATATTTAATTTCTGTCTTTGTGGGTTCTTAGATGTTCATATCATGCAGAACCTGTGAGGTGGATGCCCATCATCACAAAGAACCATGTGACCCAACAGTGGCTTTCCTTTTACTTATAATAAAACTCTATCTGAACCACATTTATTGGGGAAAAGAAACAACTTTTTGTGGCTGACTTGAGTAGTTAGTGGCACAGCAAATACTGGTGCCTCCTCTCACATTACAGATGATTCAGGAGTGAGAAGTTCTGGGATGGTGGAGGGTGGAGGACACAAGTGCTAACTGTGGCATTTGCAGTGCTAGTCACCTTGAGTGGTGGGCCACTTCTGGCCTTACTTCTTTGGACTTCAGGAGGGCGAGTGTGTGCTGTGATTAAAGTGGTTTTAAATTCTCTATCTCTTGTCCTAACATCCCAGGGCTTCCAGCAAAAATTCTCCTTCCACAGTAAAGAGATTGTGGCTATCAGCTGTTCCTGGTGCAAGCAGGCGGTAAGTTTGGGGATGAAATAAAACAAAGTGGGCTCATGTTTTATCAAAGTAGACTTACATCATTACTTGAGTTGCTGTCTATAAGTGGAAGGTTCTAATTTATGTATTATTTCTCTCACCTAGGATCCTTGAAGGAAGAAAGATAGATTAAAACTATAGAACTATAGCCTATATGACCTGGGAGAAACTAGAGAGGTCAATCAACCCCTTCATTTATATACACTGAAACCTAAGATCAGAGACTGGGAAATCCTCCCCTGGTTCTCACCCTGGGTCTACAGTCGAGGACTTCTCATCCCTAGAACGTATTTCTTCCACCACACTAGATTGTTGATAACTCCTCTATGGTTGGAATTTGCAACATTAGATAATCTCTCTAACACTGGAATCCAGCCATCTTGGTTCTTCTGTTTTTTGATGTGGGTGACTTTTATGGGGTTGCGTTGGGGTCAGGGGCAGTCTTGTACTCTCTTTAGGCTTGGATCTGGTTACAGCTGTGCAAATGCTCATTGAAATGTAACTCTTTTTTACATTTGGGCATATATATTCATTAGGATCCAATGGTAGTTTCCCTCTTTTATCTATCCTTTATCCATTGTTTATCTCCTCTGTTCCAACCAGATGGTTCATTTTCTTGTTTGCTTATGCACCTGTTCTTTTTTTTTTTTTTTTAAATAGACGATGCTAACTCATGGGTTGGCAGACTGTGGCCCATAGGCCAAATCTGACATGGCCTGTTCTTATAAATAACATTTTATTGGAACACAGCCATACCCATCCATTTACATATTGTCTTGGCTACTTTCATGTTACAACAGCAGAGTTGAGTAATTGCAACAGGGACAGTATGGCCCCTTAAAGCTAAACTATTTACTAGCTGCGCCTTTTGTAGAAAAGCTTGTGGACCTCTGCTCTAATCTCTCAGTTCACCTACTTTGTTGAATGACTGTATGACTGTGGCATAGAGTCCACTCATTGCATAGACAACCTGAAAAGAAAGGACTGTGGTGTTCAAGGTAAGTTAAGGTTTTGCAGGAAGACTCAGCCCTCTACATACATCAGATTTAACTAGCCAAATGAGCGCACAGGTCAGGAGCAGATGCATTTAGTTGAAACACATAAAATTGATATTTTTTGTGGGGCAAAAGCTTTTGAATTTGAGGAATTTTATGACATTTGACCTATATCTCTCTAGCATAATTTCCCTAGTTCCCTACATATCAAGAGAACCTACTGTCACTAGGTAGGGATGCACTAGTCTGGAAAGTTCAATGATTACTGTATCCTCATCCTGCCACATTTTCTAGGCATTTGCATCTCCTTTCAATTAATTTTTACACAAATAATCTTTGTGCTTCTGTTCAAGAACATGCTCATAAATGTAAGGTCATCCTAGTCCTTGAATGAAACTATGCCATCAAGGCAGCATCTCCACCTGGAGAGAAAGAAACTGATTCAGGTTCCAGGTGTCTCTAACAGCATCTATGCTGTGAGTTTCCCTGATCTGTTGAGACTCCACATGTGGGATAACATCATTGATAGTTTGAGCTCCTATGGACTACATTGGCTCCACTCCTGTAGCAACCAGGCTGTGGTAAGAGGGTTTCTTCAGCATCCATTGATTCTGGGAACTCAGTCTTACTTTCTGTGAAGCACATGTTCTTTTGTCACTAATTCATAGTCCAATTGAATCATGTTGTAGGTGATTTTGCAAGAAGATGAGTTAGTGACAAACAGTTAAATGACAAAAAGTTAAGACAAAGCATTTTAAGACAAATTGCATTGGGGATATATTTTAACCCTATTGGTAATCTCTTCAAGAATATCTGATGTCAAACAAGTGCTGTCTGTAGGCACTTTCTGCAGCAGGGGGGAAAAAAAAACTGGGTCCAAAAGCTAGGTTTTTTGGTTTAGGCTCTGACTCCACCTTGTAAAAATTATGCATTTTTGGACTTTATCTGGATAGCTCTTTGTCTGGGTTGGAGAGTACTCAGGTATAAATTGAGAGTTGAAAGACTGTCTCAGAGATCTTGACTATTTTTTTTAAAGATTTATTTATTTATGATAGACATAGAGAGAGAGGCAGAGACACAGGAGGAGGGAGAAGCAGGCTCCATGCCGGGAGCCCGACACGGGACTCGATCCTGGGACTCCAGGATCGCGCCCTGGGCCAAAGGCAGGTGCTCAACCACTGAGCCACCCAGGGATCCCAATCTTGACTATTTTAGAAATGCAATGGGCATGCAGTTAGGGGTTTATTTGAATTGCTAAAAGAAAATCAGTTTTGAAGAAGATATTTAGATAATGTTTCTCCAGTATATCACTCTTTGCAGATCACAAATAACTGGTGGTAGGAGAAATTACTAACTTCTTTTGCATTCATACTTAATTAGTAATTTGCTACAGGATCATGTGAAGATAGGCAGAAATGAAGACAAATTCTCTGTCTGACATAATTGGGATGGCCATATTTGCCAGGTTTCCTGAGACAGTCCTGATTTATGTTTGTTGTTCCAACATAATTGTTATCAGTGCTCCCTTTCATTTTTAAAATTGTTCCTGTTAAGATGACACATTATGCTTCCATTAAGTATAATGCAGTAGAAACTGATGTAAAAGTTTTTAAAAATCATGGATTAAATCTTTAAGGCCCCAATTATTGCATAATGTGGATTTTGTTTCTTAGGAAAAAATTGTTACCACACATCATTATCACTTTACACTCAGAAAATGATGGTCACTCAGTCCATTGGTTCAGAGTTAAGCCACTAATCCTGAGGTATTGTTATGATCACCAGTCTCCATTTACTTTCTTCCTTTCAAAAACAGGAAGCCTTTTAGCCTTATCAAGTGTGGTAGGGTCATTGTATTTTTTAGCAGTCCCAGACAAACCCAGCAGAGGCAATTTCTTTCTTACCTCTTAGATTAAGAACTCTCTAGAAGAGACGTCTTGCTTCTTTCCCGGGCTTCCTAAACTAGAAGGACTACCTGTGCTGGATTTACATCAAAGATCAGGAAAAAGAGAGGCCAGTGGGAGGACCTGCCTCTCTGCTTGCCTTCATTGCCTCCTCAGCATTATCCCACATCAAGTCCATAACAAGCGCGAGTCAAGTGCAACATCCAGGGTTGGGATCAATAGAACTCTCCGAGACCTCATTATATAAATATCCTAATAAAAGCTTGTAAAGTTTTAGCTGGCCTTGACCTACAAAATTGATTTCTTTATCAGTTTGTGAAGGGGAATGAGTTGTAAATCTGGTCTCTAAGTTCCCGGGCTGTTTGGGGAGTGATAACCAACGTGTGTCTTCAGGGTCTGCGAGTTTGGGTGAGTGCACGTGGGTGCATGTACTATTCCTTCTTGCTGCAGCAGGGGCCTTTGCCTAGGATTGTTTATTGGCCTGTTTTTCTCCTCAGTTTCACAATAAGGTGACCTGCTTCATGCTGCATCACATTGAGGAACCCTGCTCCCTGGGGGCTCATGCTGCTGTTATCGTCCCGCCCACCTGGATCATTAAGGTCAAGAAGCCTCAGGTAACTTCTGGGACCCTGGTGCTGCTGGGCCAGTGCAGAGAAAAAGGAACTGCTGCTTCTTGCTTTTCTTGCCCTCTTTTTTTGGGTTCCTAAAATCTCTGCTCACTCACCCCCCAGCCCCACACTCAGCTTCCTCAGTTCATCCCCTTAGCCCATCACATGACTGCAGTTGGGCTCTCTCATGGAACCAGCCTCCCTTTCCTGAAGAAATCAAAGTTCCACAGCAGGAATGTTTCCTTCCCATTCATGTGCTAATGAGACTCTCTTTGGGTGTCCTCCTGAGTTCATTAAATACTAGTGGCGGGTGCAGCTAATTCTGACACAACTCTCTTCTCTTCCAGCCTGGGCATCCCCAGGGAGTGAATGTGAGGGCAAACTGTGCAGGCTTCATTGTTTGGTTGAGATTACCACCACTTCCAACCTGAACGGCAGACTGTGGGTCATGACCTTCCTAAATACACAAGGCCTGCTCAGAGAGCAACACTCTTTTCTTAAGGCAAAGTAGAATTTATCCTCTTAATACCTAATCTCATTCTGTATTCAATTCTTGTTGTACATTCTGTCCTAGAGCGTCTCTGTGATATTCCAGGAAACCTTAGTGGTTTCTCAACAGGGTCACAGTCTTTGATAGCAAAATTTCTACCTTTGTCCTATACATCTTAGCCTGTGAGCTGCAAGTTACAAGATGGCATACTTGTAATGCTATGGGGGAAAGAGGATACTTCTCCTGGGGACACAGCTGCCCACAGGATGTCCTTATTGAATGTAATACCTTTAAAAGATATGGCGGTCCTACTTCATATGGTCTTCAGAATCATCCTGCAGGTTATTCTCACTGACTTTGTTTTATTTTAAAAAGTGGTGGATCAGGGAGACTGTTTTGCTTTGTGTGTTTTTACAAAAAGTTCAGCTTCTGCTGATGAGTAACATACAGTAATAATCTTTCCTAGTTACAATCCAACAAAAGCCCTTGGGAAATCCCTTCCAGAGGCAAGTGCAATATCTATGTATTAAAAAATGGGGAATTTAGACTTTTCATTTAATATTTTAGAGCCAAATGCTAAGAGCTGTTAATAAATGAGTGGCCCAAGGTGACAGCAAGTGTAATACTGCATTTGAAATTCAAGTACCAATTTCCAACCTACTGTTAATTTAAAATCTCTAACCTTTTTACTTCTTTGATTCCCCAACTCCTAAAACTCAGTGATCTGAGTTATATATCAAATACTCAGTTAAATCAACATGCTTACACTGAAAACCTTCATGGCGTTGAGAAAGCTCCTGGGCATTGGGATATAATGTATGATCCTTGTTCTGAAGAACTATATGGTTTTCCTAAGGAAAGATCAGGGAGTGTCCTGAAGGAGGTGAGTTCTGTTCTACCCCTATAAAGATAGGTGGGATTTAGATCAATGGAGAAGAGAGGAAATAGCAGGCCTGGGGAATGGCATGAGCAAGGGTGCTGTGGCCAAAATCAGACTCAGGAGGCTATGAGACTAGTTTGTACTACATGGGTGGTGACGTATTTCTGTGATATGCTTTCAGAGGAATGGGGCAGCAGATTGTTTACTCTTAGTTCTAAGACTGATCAGTGAGTTCTGGAGCTATGCTTCTGATCCATCTGTCATAAAGTTGTCCATCAGCCTTTCACCATTTTATCCATTAAGGATTATTGCCTAAGTCTATTATGTTAGGGGTTTCCAAGAGGTGTTTTTTGGTTGTTTGTTTTTATAATTTTTACTCTTCTTTGTATAAGGGAACTAAAAAAAAAATAAAGCTAATTCATGAAAAATGCTTGAATATTTATCTTTATTTGTAAATTTTCAGAATAATAAGTTGGCAAGTTTGCAATGTTATTAGTTGGCTAAAGGTGGTGGTGGTGGTTTTTGGAGAGTATCATTATGAGTTATCAACTTACCTCATGTGATATTTAAAACATGTTTCAATCCATTGGCATCATTTTTTTTTTGTATTAATGTCTTTGACCAGTTGGACCCTTCTAGATGGCTCTTGTCTCCATTTTTCATGAGCCATGAGGTTTTTGATGCCTTCCTTAGTTTCAGGAATCATATCATGTTCCAGGATCATTTTAGGCATTTCCTGCCCATACCTAGAAGCAGCCATTTCTCTAAGGAATCTTGGTTACTTTTAATGGTGGATGGTATTTACAGTTCACAGTCTGTTCAAAGTCCAGATAGTTTTCATCACACACCTTCTTATTGTCCTTCTGTGATTCAGGAAAGTGTAATAATAAGGAAAACTAACACTTATGGAATGCTTTTATATGTATTAGGAAATATTTTAAGGACTTTACATTCAGTATCTCATTTTACCATCAAGTACCTATTCCCATCGGGTATCCTATTCCCACGTTGTAGCTGAGGAAAGTGAGGAATTAAAGTCAAATAAATTACCCAGAGCCATAAAATTATTAAATTGTTTAAGGTGACATTTGAACCCAGGGATTCTGATTTTGGAAACTATGCTCTTAATGGTATGTCATGCTGCCTCACTGTCTTACTATAGCAAGCCTTGCCGAGGCACATATCTTTAAAAATTTTGTAGTCCCTCCTCGTCTGGGCCCCCAAAAGAAAGAATTTAATCAATAACTTAATTCTATTTGTAAGCCAGTGTACGATGAGCGTGGGGGACAATACAGTGGTGGTTAAGAGCTCTAGCTTATGAGTTCACTGCCTAGATTCATAATCTTGCTCTGCTGCTTAGTAACTTGTATAATCTCAAAGAATTTTTTTTATTTTTTATTTTTAATCTCAAAGAATTTAAAGTCTCTGCCTTCTCATCTGCAAAGGGTAAATAATACTAGTACCTAATTATAGGGTTTTCACTAGGACTAGTGAGCTAAGAAATGAAAATGAAGCACATAGAACAGTACCTAGCTCATTGTAAAACTCAATAAATGTTAGCTCTTGTTATTTTCCCTGTGAGTACAGGATATCAAATGAAGTTCTACATCAAGAAGAAAACCTTGGGGGATCCCTGGGTGGTGCAGCGGTTTGGCGCCTGTCTTTGGCCCAGGGCACGATCCTGGAGACCCGGGATCGAGTCCCATGTCGGGCTCCCGGTGCATGGAGCCTGCTTCTCCCTCTGCCTGTCTCTCTGCCTCTCTCTCTCTCTGTGTGACTATCATAAAATAAAAATTAAAAAAAAAATCTTAAAAAAAAGAAGAAAACCTTGGGCAGTTGTACAGAGGTCAGGAAGGACAGAAGTTATGGTTTCCTGAGCCATCTGCATCTTAATGAGAGAAGATGAGAAGAGATGGATTCTCATGGGGAAAGAGGCAGAGTAGGGGTCACAGCCTGGTGTCTGGTGTGCTCTCAAATGCACCTTGAGATGCAACTGTAACTATTGTATTTTACACTGTAGTGAGATTGTGTGTTCATAGCATGATTATCCCATGGGAGAGAGTTAAGAACTATTCATTTACTGAATTGAAGAATTGAAGAAGACCGAGTAAGCATCCACAATCAGAAAGTGGAAGGAGGAAGAGAATCCTGCAGAACAGGGAGAGACCTTATAGCACAGTTTCATTATTAAAAATGGAAAGAAAATAGGGTAGTCATCAAGGTTAAATTCTGTAGGCATTAAAAAATAACAAGGATTGAAAAAAGTCTTTGTGTTTGGCTATAGATCATTGATGACCATCAAAGCTATAGTTTTTTTTTTTTTTTAAAGATTTTAATTATTTAATCATGATTGCTAAGAGAGAGAGAGAGAGAGAGAGAGAGAGAGAGAGAGAGAGAGGCAGAGGCACAGGCTGAGAGAGAAGCAGGCTTTATGCAGGGAGCATGACGTGGGACTCCAGGATCACGCCCTGGGCTGAAGGTGTTGCTAAACCCCTGAGCCACCAGGGCTGCCGTAAAGCTATAGTTTTTGGAGTGTGGGTGACAAGCTGTTAGTGATGGTGTTGGAAGCAGTGAGATTAGAGAGTTCATTGGAGACATTGAGAAATGCTAAAAAAAGAATTTGGAAATTAGAGAAGAGCAGACAAAATGTTTTTCCTACTTGTAGAATTTATGTATATTTTTTCTGTATATTTTTGTATTCGAGGATACTGCTTAAAAACAAGATGATATTCTTAACTGAGTGAGGTAGATGTTTAACTCCATTCACAGATGCCATTATAGGCAGTGGGATGTCCACAGATGAAACAGATGTTCACCTGATGTCCACAAAGAGTATCCTCCCTAGGTGAGAAAACTGATACAACAAACTAAACCACTGGGCAGAGAGTTTGTGGATTCTGGAAAAGGAATTCAGCCACCTGTAAATTCTTAATAAAAAGATTGGTCTTGGGGTACATGGGTGGCTCCGCGGTTGAACGTCTGTCTTTGGCTCAGGTCATGATCCCAGGACCCTGGGATCAAGTCTTGCATCGGGTTCCCCATGGCGAGCCTGCTTCTCCCTCTGCCTACATCTCTGCCTCTCTCTCTGTGTGTCTCTTATGAATAAGTAAATAAAATCTTTAAAAAAAAAAAAGAGTGATCTTCAGGTATCTGGAAGGTTTGCCTCTGTCATCAGTGTGCATCTTGTAGGACAGATACACACAGGGTGGTAAGAGAGAGGATGCCCCACAGGTTGGTTGAACCAGCCATGGTCTGTGGGAAGCCACCCCCCGCCATGGGGGGTGATAAAGATGGCTGAGATGTAGGAATGAGGTAGAAGCATGAAGTGGAAAGGATTGATTTTGGTCGCAGAGATGGTTGGAGGCCAAACAGAAAGTCCTGTTGGTACTCAGTCTTGAAGGATGTGAGGGGCCACACTGGGAAGAGGGATGAAGAAGGACAACATGAGTTTAGAGAAGATACTGAGAATAGCAGTTAAGGTGGATCACTAGATAAAGTCAGTTTTACTTTTGATGCTTATGTCTAAGAAAATGACCCAAGAGAGGAAGAAAGCCATTTGTGTGTATAACAGCCAGGAAAAGCAGGTTGTAATGAAGTGGAATCAAACTATATATTTTACGTATCTATTAAAGGATGGCTGGTTCTGAGTAGATCATCACTCTGTAACCAGCTGTGTGAAGCTTGGATGGTATGGAGAATGGGGCTGGTTTGGATGGTCTGCTGGGTTTCATCACCAAATCATTTGGAGAGAGCTAGAAAACAAAAGATGATGGAATTTAGAAGACAGTCAAGAATTAAAAGCAACCCAAATTTTAAGAATCAAGCACAAATCTGTTCCTATATTTAAAGGCAAAGTTATATTTAATGTTACAGATGTCACAGTTTCTCCTCTGGACTGAAAATGTTAGAGGATAATACTTTGGATAAACAAGTTAAAGATGTTAAAATATGAGCACTTGGAGCTGTTGGAGAAAGACCCATGATATGTGAATTTTTGTGGGGTTAAATTATAGGAGACTAGAGGTGTGTGTTTTTAATAAATGACGTCATTCTGCACATAATACTTTAAAACTTGGCTTTCCTAGTTTAAAAAAAATCTTGGAGAAAAATTTGTATTAATACATGTAAATTTAACTCCTTTTAAAACTGCTACATATATTCCATACTATAAATATATTACAGTTTATTTAGCCAATTTCCTATTGGTGGAGATTTATAGTCTTTTTTTTTTTTTTTTTTAGTCAAATCACTAGTTGGATTTATTACAAAAGTTGAAGTTGCAAAATTACATGTTAAAGTTGGTGTTAACTTTTTCATCTTCTAACTTCAAAATTTGGAATTGATATTCCTACCAACCTTGAAAAAAATAGTTACCACGATAAAAACTAGGCAGTTAGCAATCACAATATAGTAATATCTTGTTAAAAAGGTCACATGATGCATGACTTTTGGAATCCCAATAAAAACAAATGGAAAAAATCAACCAGCAGGAAACAAGATCAACCAGCAGGAAACAAGCATTTGAGGAAGAAAAAGTCCATTTTGCATGGAAAACTTCCTGCTCATGTATGTGTGTATGTGTGTATATATATATATGTGTGTGTATATATATATATATATATATACATATATATATATAGTTTCTAATGGTCTCCTTATAAAAAATTCTGCAGTCAACTCCTTAGCCCATATGGGTTTCTCCATGTCAATCTCTTATTCGTTATGATCAGATAATGTGAAAATGCTGGAGACCCAGAACATGTAATCGCTATGATCAGCCATCTCTTTCAGAATTGCTCAAGCCATTTCCTTTGTTCAATTCTAAAGGTTAAGCAATACTTGCTGTAATTTAACCAAATATCCCTGAGAAATAGCAAAGACTCTGTCCTTATCTTTTGGAATTAGTTTTCTTTATTTCTCTGCTTGCCTATGGAACAACTTTTGTCCTGGTGGTGCAGCTGGAGTGGGGCAGCAGGAGAATACCGTCTAATAGATGAAGTCCATGCCTCTCCTACTATCCATCAGAGTTTTGTCCCATATAGATGGGGGAAGGCTTCATTCGGCATGATGAAGTATGAGATATCTTCTCTTTAGAGCTGTTGTTATAACCTGTCCTTTGTGATCCCATAATCTGGGAAAACCCCTGAAGGGTATTAAGAGGTAATTAAGTTTTATTTACAGTTGAGTGATTTACCTGTAGGCTTTTTTTCTTTTTTCTTTTTTCTTTTTTTTTTAACAGCCCAGGAAGGGGTCCTGACTATGAGAGAGGCTTTTGTTGATAGGATTATTTCTGTAGTAAAGTAATACTGCCCCAATACCTGGCATAGAAAAAAATAAAATAAAGTAAAACAAAAGGCCTTTATCTATTCTTAGAACTTGAACAAAAGAGTAGACACAGAATGTACGGGGGCAAATGCTGTTAGAGTCAGAAAAATGCAAAAATCCATATGAGGGTATAACATTTCACTGGATGGTGTTCAACTTGCCAAGTAAATCCTTTGTATCACTGAATTAGCTGCCCTTGATAACAGAGATGCTTTGTTTTAGAACACAGGACAAGTATCGATGCTTTCTTGGATAATGCAACCAACAATTCTACAAAATAACTTCTTGGAATAATTTTTATGTTCTTGAAAAGCATGCTATTTTAATTCTCACAACTGACCCAGGCAGGGTGAGCAATATCTCAGATTAGCAAGACTAGCTAACTTGTCTTGTCATGGCTGAAACACAACCCAAATCTGCTTTCACATCCATCTGTTCCTCACTGGATGATGATACCTTCTAAAAGAAGTTCTGTGTTGAGACCGAGATACATATTTACACATGAACAGAAGGAAGCCTTGGGGATTTTGAGGTGTGCTGTGAAATCCCATACTGCTTATCTTTTGCTATTTGACTATCCATAGGGCTGTAAGCTTCCTCAGAGTTCACATAGAAGCATCCAGGTACTGTAAGTCAATCGCTGTGCTTCATCTGGGCTCCCTTCTTGTTCTGTGAGATGAAGACCTCACGTGCATTTGGCTCCATGAGGCTCAGAAGCATTCATATTTGCTATATCTGTGTGAGAAAGGCCATTGTTGTATGTATGTTCCCTATTAGAGTTGAGTTCTTTGCCTGCTCTGTTTTCAGACATGAAGCCTTCTTTTGATGTGTTTTCTAACTGTTTCCCAAACATGCTTGATCTGCAGAATCCCTTTAAGAACTGTGATTTCTGTGATCAGGCAAGTTTAGGGAGTGATCTTAGTTTGATCCATTAGACTTTTCTCATAGCGCTTATTTATTGAGTCCTGCCAAGAACCAAGTCCTATAGCGTGTTCCTGAAAGCACGTGGCTCCCTGCATTGCTCTTGGCAATAAATGAACTAAAACAACAAAGAAGTTAGGAGACAATAATTCATTTCTGAAAGATCCTTTCCAAAATCAGGAAAGATCAGTAAGTGTTGTGAATTATAATATTGATGCATTTCAACAATGATTTGAGTGCATACTATGTGCCAGGCATTTGTGCTCAATGCCGGGGATATACAGCTGTGAACGAGGCAACTAACATTTATGGAAGTGCTTATCATGGGACGATACCAAGCTAACTGCTTCACATACCTTTTCCCGTTTTAACTTCACTACTGTCCTGGGAGGTAGGTATTATCACCTTCGTTTTAAAATTAAGGAATCATTATTTCAAAAGCTTGACTGACGTGGCCAAGGTCATAGATCTTGTAACTGGAAGACCCAGAATTACCACCCGTTGTGTCAGATTCCGCAGCTCATGCTCTTTATCCCATTGAAATTATGCTTTAGTCCAGTATGTATGTCCCCTCACTTTTCCCTTTTACTTCAGAGGTTCCCAACTCTGGCTACACACTACAGTTGCCTGGGGAACTTTACAAAAGTATCTTTGCCTGGGCCTTACTCCAAACAAAGAATATTTGGGGGGTCCACATCAGCATTTTTAAAAGAACTCTGGGTGAGGCCAATGTGCAGTGATTGGTTGAGAACCATTCGATATCATTAATTGCCCTCCTAATAGTTTCTAGCATTCTTCTTGGGACTGATTCATTGTTTACAGTTTCCAGGTAGTTCTTCCCTTTTAAACAAAGTAGTTAACACGTAGGAAATACTTAGTAATGCAAACATTTCCTCAAAGTGGAACATGGTAGTAGATCAATTTAAAGAGGAATTCAGAAACTTGGAGTTCTTTATGTAGGACAAGTGTAGTCTACAGTGAGTGGTAAGAAATAACCTGGGGCCTAGAGCACCCATGAACTTCTGGATCTCTCTTTTCTGGTGAGACTCAGAACCTGAAAACTCTTTTAATCTGATGGAGGAAGAAAACTTCCTTCATCCTTGATGAGTACCAGCTACAGAGCAACATATTTTTTTATGGTCCAAATGAAAGTAAAAAAAAAAAAAATGTAGTTTCAATCTTGCTAATTTGAATGTGTTAATATCTGTACTCTAGACTAAGTTTATTTTGAATGCGGTAAGAAAAAAATACCCAGGAACCTAAGAATAGATATCTAAGTTTCTTGAAGCTGTTTGAAAATCTTTATCTGCTTGGGCAATGCATGTGTATATATGCTTATATAAACTTTTAAGTTAAGAATTCTGTGTTTCAGGCATTCAACAGTTTGCTAACCATCTCTGGTATGATAGTAACATCTTGCCTTTGTGAAGATGGCAATCTAATTAATTATTGACTCTCCACTAATTAAACCAGTGAGTTGTGACTGTCCCCTAAGAGAGGTTCTTCTCAAAGCATCTGTATCCTATATTAAGAGTAAATGGCTAGTTGAAGTAATCACAAGGTTGGGGCTCATAACATTCCTAGAAAGAGAAAAATGGGGAAACTAAACTTGGGGTCACTGTATTCCACAAGTTGGAGGCACTTCTATGAGAAGAATAAATCAAGGCTACCAGGGGAGGGAAGACTTTTTAAACCAATAGGTCTTTAGAGAAAGAGAGCAATGATTGCCACTCTACTAATATTAAAAGTAACTTCAGGTGAGCCTTATCTCTGCATTTTAAAACTTAGCCATCAGTTGATAGCATAGTTGGATCATAATGTTCTACTAGGGTTGAGCCACTTTATGACTATTACTAGAAAGGTCATTACCAAAAAAAGGTAAACAGAGAAAAAAAAGAAAAAGAAAAACATGAAAAATGGCCTCCTTTTTTACATTTCCACATAGGTGATCTCCATACCAGGAGATGAACTTGAACTTGGTTGGGCGGGAGACGGACCTGGTTGGGCGGGAGACTGGAGCCCCTCAGAGAATTTGGGATTCTTCCATTTTTACTGGGAGGGTTGGCAGGTATAACATGTGTTGTTATGTGAGTCCATGAGAGCCTCCAGGGTTCTAACTCCCTGCCTCTCCGTGTGGTGGGGAGTCAGTCGCTCACTCTGAAGCACTCGACTGGTTTCTGTCTGTGGCTTACCCATGAACAGTGGCTTGGAAGTGTCAAAGCATGAGAAGCATGCAGTGGAACAGCATGTGCTGCCTTCATCTCCTACATGGTTCTGCATGGGAGGTTCGTGGGCTGTCTGCCTTAGAGCTCAGGTGTTTCTTTCTTTCCCTACAGAACTCATTGAAGGCTTCAAATCGGAAGAAGAAGAGAACAAGCTTTAAAAGAAAAGCCAGTAAAAGAGGAACTGAAGTAAGTGTTTCAGGACAATGTCCCAGTAAACTATATTCTCCTTACTGTAACCACCTCTGTCCATTGTGATCTGGCCCAAGCTTCTTTTTCTGATAAATTTTCTACTTCACTTCCCTCCTTCACTATACTTTTATGAACCACACTGGAATTCTTTTCTATTTCCAAAAAAATGTGTGTATGTGTAACCTTCTGCTACTTCAGAATCAGAACATTTGTACTTGTCCGTGGAAGTACTGTCCCAAAAACGATGAAGAACTAACATTTCGAGAATGCTCAAGAGCATACAGAATAACACCAAAAGCATGGCTCATTCTCTAGGGCAAATTATAGCTTGAGATCCTTTCTTCTAAGCTTTATATGGACTATCTTGTTAAGAGTAAGCCATGTGACATAAGATGTAACTTTTTTACTTGGAGACATCAAGGGTTAGTGGTGGTGTGGGGGTGCTGGTAGTTGCTTCCATTGCTTTTGGGCTACCTGTCCAAGTCATGGATGGATGTCTCAATAGTGTTGCTTTCTTCCTTTAGCAGGAAAACAAAGGTCGTCCTTTTGTGATAAAACCTATCTCTTCTCCTCTCATGAAACCCTTGCTTGTGTTTGTGAACCCCAAGAGTGGAGGCAACCAGGTGAGTCATTTTTCATGATTTTAATTTGGAACCTCAATGCTTTCTTGAAAACAGTTCCCAGCACCAACTACCTAGGACTCCAAGTGTTGGAAGAAAACCAATTTCCCAGGGACAGGGTTATTGTTATAGGGTATAGCCTTATACATTGCAGGGTTATGCAAAATCTAGAGGTCCTATGTTTATCTCTCAGCTTCCAAGTAAGATTATACCAGAGGCCCTCTAAAAGCCTGTTGACATTTTCCTTACTAAGTTTAAAAAAGATCATTCAAAAATTTCTTAATTAATATGTTTCAGGGTTTCTCAACTCTTACTGTTAGGAAGCTCTTTATGGACTTTGTTGCTTCCCCTTTTAAGTTAGACTTCTGTCCCTATCGAGAGGAAAGCGAGAACAATGGCTCACTCATCATTGTCAATGATCATTAACAACAAACACCACCAAAGCTATCAAAAATATCACCTTCTAAAGGTTTCATTTGGTCCTTGCCCAAATCGTGTAGCATAATTAATCACTACCTCATTTGAGGAGGAAGAAATGCCTAAGAAGTATAATTCATTAATTAAGTATAATGACCTACCCGAAGTGACACAACTCTCTAAGGACAGACTTTGTTCTAGAATCTAGGTCTTTGTCTCCTCATATGCTTCTCTTTCTACTCTGAGGCTCCTTACCTCTTATTGGCTCTTATTTGGCTTTGATTTTCTCTATCTTCATGTGAGAATGGATGATAAGATATTTTATCTGTCCTCTAAGTGCACATTTTACATTTAGAGGTGAGATTCCTTGAAGTTCACACTTAACAACTAACGATCTGAAACTGCATCCTTAACCCCATATAGGGAGGGGAGCCATATAATAAGGAATGATATTCTTACTACTAAGGATACTGGGCATTTTCCAGAATGGACTAATTATAATAAAGCTTCTCCTAAGAGAGCTTGTGATTTATTATTTTTATTTTATTTTATTTTTAAAGATTTTATTTATTTATTCATGAGAGATACAGAGAGAGAGGCAGAGACACAGGCAGAGGGAGAAGCAGACTCCATGTAGGGAGCCTGACGTGGGACTCGATCCCAGGTCTCCAGGATCACACCCTGGGCTGAAGGCAGCACTAAACTCCTGAGCCACCCGGGATACCCCCAAGAGCTTATGATTTAAAGAAAATATTATTTCTTCATTCTTTATTTCCTTTAAAATTCTTGATAACTTGCTGTGTTGAAAATCTTTAACATGGTAGAAAACAGGGAAAAGAAATGTGTTGTTAGCAGATAATCTATTTTCAGCATCCTGCTTTTTCAAAAAGCCAGTGAGTGATGATTTTCATATTGTAATGATGATGATCCTAAGGTTTTTACTGGAGGAGCTTTTCAGGAGTGAGGTTCAGTGTGCCTGAACCATACTCACTTTCTAGGTCTAGCCTCCATATAGCCCTAAGAGGGTCAGGAGTATGTTTGGGGACCACGGAACAGAGCAAAGATAATGCAATGGAGTCCATGATTTTGACCACTTAAATATAATATGCTAATTCCCAATATATTTTATTATGAAAGTCATTCTAGAGGATGCACTCATCAAATCATAAGCCTTTTTCCTAGGGCATTTAGAAACTTGAAGGTTTTGGGAGCAGATAGTCTAGTAAAGATAGCCCATTTTTGTTGGAATCTCTGTGTAAATTAGTAATGCCAGGGTCTGCAGAGATGATCTGATGTTATTTCCTATTTCACTAAATAGAAAACAAGAAAGTTTAAGTAAATTTTCTAAGGACATTTTGATAATGATACCCAAGGGGCAAATGTGAAAAATAATTCAAGCAACATTAACTATATGTGAGTTTTAAATTGAGTGGATCAGACTGTGCGTGCTCTGAAATTTCAGAGGCAAGTAGTGCCTTGGGAGTGGTACAAAAGTGGTGTCATGGCAGTGGGTAAATTGAAGATGGACACTACTTAGAGTTATGCAGAGAAAGAAGGCTGGAACAGCACCACTTTTCTTCTCCTGTTCATCCTTTAAGAACTGGAACCATTTCTCAAAATTAATCACCCTGTCCAGGGCCGTAGTCCCATAGCCCTTGGTACAAATCTGTATTTTGTGAATTGCAACATAAGTACTCTGTGTGTGTCCTGCTAAGATACAGACTCCATTATGCCTGGGGTTGCACCTTTCAACCTGTGGTTTCTAGTATGTGGGATATGGAAACGAACAAAGAATTGTATGATAGGCAATTGGGATTTTACAGCAGATTATCTGGACGGTGGCTTTGTTACTGCTGAGAATTCAGGAAAGGAAAGAATTATTTTGGAAAAGAAGTTGAGGTGTGTTCGTGACCGTGAGATATTCAAATAAGAAATGCCCAGTTATTAGAGACAGAGGACTTAAATGATTGGCTCTCATTTTATGCATTTTGGTTTACAAGATTACTTCTAGACTAGGATTCTCAGAAGTATGACCAAATCAAAATGAATATTGTATAACTCTACATTTCTATATACTTTCTTTATAAGACAGAATACTAAGCCTAATAAATGAAGGGCATTGCTTCTAAGCACAGTGTGAAATGTTGAGAGTGCTTTATTTTTTTTTTAAATATTTTATTTATTTATCCATGAGAGACACGGAGAGAGAGAGAGGCAGAGACACAGGCAGAGAGAGAAGCAGGCTCCATGCAGGGAGTCCAACGTGGGACTTGATCCCAGGTCTCCAGGATCACGCCCTGGGGTGAAGACGGCACTAAACCACTGAACCACCTGGGCTGCCCCAGAGAGCTTTAAAGACATCCGAATACCTATGCATGCTTGCAATCATTCCATCTGATCTCCATCTTCAATCTTGGGAAGGCACAGCTTGATTCCCAGGGAAGGGTCCTGGTCATAGATAATCTAATTCCTCTGTTAGGGTCCACCTTTTCCTGTGCTGTGGTTTTCCTATGTCTTTAACATTGCAAATAAGGTTGGATTCTGTGTGATGGGGGAGTCAGAAGGTGAATTGGCTCCCTTGAATCTTGTTTTCTTCATAATCTTGCACCCTGCCCAAACTTCAACCTTTTTTGAGACTAAAAGTTCAAAGGAGAACTAAGGATGGCAGTAAAAACTGGGCAAGTGAACCCCCCAGGAAGGTGGCTTTGAGAATCTGCTTTTCTTTTTTTCTTTTTCTTTTCTATTCTTTTCTTTTTTCTTTTCTTCTCTTCTTTTTTTTAAATATTTTATTTATTCATGAGACACACACACACACACACACACACACAGAGAGAGAGAGATGCAGAGACACAGGCAGAGAGAGAAGCAGGCTCCATGCAGGGAGTCCAATGTGGGACTCCTATCCCGATCCCGGGTATCCAGTATCAGGCCCTGGGCTGAAGGCAGCACTAAACTGCTGAGCCACGAGCCCGAGAATCTGCTTTTTTAACAAGCTCCCAGCTGACTATTGTTGCAACTGATTAGCTAGGGCTTCCTAGAAATACGTCACGGCTGTTGTTGTTCAGTCCTGGTTTTTGCCTTTTAATGACTGATTTATTTTGCTTATCTCTGTAGATACAGAGCACTCCCTCTTTGAAGCCTAGGCTTCAAACCTTTATTTAAATTTGCCTGGGCTTCTCTTAAGTAAATAACTAGACTATATCGCCATCTTCTGGCAAGAAAAATACCTTTTTTTTTTTTTTAAGCACTCTCGTGTGTGCAGAAATTTTCCAACACTTTGCAGATATATATTGAGATGAACACATTTGGGACTGATGCTATGTATTTTTTTAAACAATAATTTGTTTTAAGCAGTTGTTTCACAATAATTGTCTCTGTTTTTTCTATCACCTAAGGTGGAGGTGATAGTGGGTATCTTGAAAGTTTTAGAGGTTGGCAGTGCTGTTGTTGGGATCTGGGAACTGGAATCATGGACCACAAGGTCAACTTCAAGTGTGTCCTCCTGTGGAGAAGACGTAAGATCTGGGAGATAAAGTTTGCACCAGCACAGTCCCCTCTTCTGTGTTTGAAAACCTGAGGACTGGAGAGATAGGCACCCTCCTTTATATTTAATCTCCGCTCTAACTTCAGAACTTAGTATTTGTATTGGACATCCCTGACTCCTTAGCATCTTTCTCTCTGAGTCTTATAGACACTTATGATATCTCTTGATGTTTTTCCTGCTTTCACATGATCTCTCCTGGAGGCTCCCTCTCAGGACTACATTTTTAGTGTCTTAGATTATATGTTTGGGGTTAAGCAGGTGCTCTGACCACTAGAGTGATTCTACCTTGAGGTCCTGACAGTTGGGGGGTCTCAGGCTCTGGATCCTCACACTATTCATTGTGAAATCCCATTGTTGAGGGGTGGCATGTGTTAGATTAGATTTCCAGGGATCTTATCAGTAGATGATAAGAGGAAGGCAGTGTCCAATTTGTGGGTAAGCTCATGCTGAGTCCACCACCATCACACATCTATGCACCATCACACCAGGGCTGCCCCTCCTAAGTCAGGGACAAGTCAACCAAGTTGGAAGAAGGAGACAAAAGTTAATAATCTCAAATGTCTGAGTCCCCAGACTTCCTAAATACTTGACCGAACAGCCACAATTATTTTCTGTGATGTTCAACCTGGTGATAAATCAAGAATCATGATGTTTGGATAAAATTTTAGGCCCCTGATGCTTAGAATGGGCTAGGAGGAGGGCAGAAGGATATCAGTAGATGATCACACATATCAAAAAATCTAAGCTCAAGATCTTGTCAAACCAGCCTCAAGAGATGGAATTAAAACAACCGAATGATAAGTCTGTGGAAAGTCCCTTTTCCCAGTTATAATACTGGTGGAAGTGTGGGGGTACCTGTTTTACTCCACTGAGACCGCTCTAACTGAACACCACAGACTAGGTGGTTTAGTAACAAGAATTTATTTCTTATAGTTCTGGGGACTGGGGAGGCCACAATCAGGGCAACGCAGGTATGGTAGCCGGTCAGGTTCCACTTCCTGGTTCTCACAGGGCTGACCTCTCACTGTGTCCTCTTGGTGTGTCTTCACATGGAAGAAATGATGAGGGAGCTCTTTGGGTTCCCTTTTATAAAGGCACTAATCTACTCACGAGGGCCCCTCTTCCCCAACGTCCCATCTCCTTTGACGGGTCAAGGGCCTGCCCAACTGTCTAGCTTCTTAGTTGATAGCCAGACTAATACATCAAAATGTCAGTCTGGCTCCCCTGATTAAGACATCTCAATTACTCTTATTTCCTATAAAATGGAAGCCAAACCCTTTAGTACCTCTGCAACTCGGGTAGCTTCATCTCCCCCGCTTCTGCCTCATGGTTCAGAAACTGAACAGAATGTCAGAATGTCCTCCTCCCATGTCTTGCTGTTTTGCATGTGTTGTGCCTTCACCTTTCTCTTCTCCACGTGTAAAGAAATGGCTGACTTCACTCATCTTTCAAGAAACAGTTCAGATATCATATATAGGGTGCCTTCATCTAATCCCAAAATTTGGGCTTAGAGTGTCTCCTCTGGCCACTCCTACTTCTCAGTATGTATCTCCACTATCACATTGACCATCTTTAGTGGCTAATTTATTTTTCATTTGGCTCTTTCTGAGTTTCCTGAGTGTATACATGTACACAGAGTAGGAGCCTGGTATGTGTTTTTTAAGTTAATTAGGTATTCCTTTGGGGTTGTTTGAAGCCAGTTTAAAGTAATTATTTCTTCATCCCTTCCTTTCATTAGCTTTTCTTTTCTTCAGGACTTTCACATCAGCTTTTGCCATGACCTAGATAATACCTCTGTTACATAAACCAAGGCTTGCTTCATAACCTACCAAAATGTTTCAGGCTGTACAAGAGTTATAAGCCTTCAGTGAAGATAGATGAGCCATTTGAGCTGATTCATTCTTAATTGACTTGACTCTCCATACCTTTAAGTCATTATCATATTTTCTTTCACGAATAATGCATAAAACTTCCTCTAGAGAGCAGGATCTTCCTGTTTTGTCCATCTCTCTCTCTTCCCGCCCAAAACAATGTCTGGAACCTAGTAGGTGAGTAGATGAATCTCCTTTATTTCCCTCTAGAACAATCTACCGGTTTTCTGGGAAGTTGTTTTCTCCTGTCCCGGCCTATTTCCCAAAACCTGGAGCCAGAAAGAACCTATTCATCACTCCACAGGAATACCCAGTCTCACAATACCTTAACAGGTTCTTTAGTCAATGTGTATGAGAACCCTCCCAAGAGTGTGCTAGAATTGACCTGCAAGCTATTTTTTTTTTTCACTTAGAGAAAAGTATAACACTCTTGCAGAGAAGTTGCAGCTTTTTTTTTTTTTAAGACTAAAGGAAAATAAGCAAACCAAAAGCCCTGAGTAACCTATATTTGAGGTTTACAGAGGCCCAAGGCTAAAAGTTACAGCTCATGGCCTTGCTCTTCCTTTCCTGCTCACCTGCCATATGACCTTAAAATGAAAGCAAATGAAGATTCTCTGTTCTATGCTCTCAGCCATTGTGTCTTTCTTTCCCCCTAAGTCTTGATGAACCCTAAGGCAGTTTTATGTCTTTTGTCTTCGTAGTCCTGTGGATTAACATAGTGGCTCTTTACTGACCACAGAGGGAGTGAAAGCAAGGAGGAAAGGCAGGTGTATGAAAGGAGGCAGGGAGGGAGAAAGAGCAGGAAGAAACAAACTGGCACAATAACCTACAAAAAAAAATTATAGCTTTTGCATTTGGCCTGTAGCTTGTGCACAACTATGAGCATGTTTGGGATGCATTAGTGAATGGCAGTTGTGTTAATGTCCAAGTAGGTTTAATCCAGTCGGTGAGAAAGAAATTACTCTTTTCCTGGTGAAATTTCTCAAGCCATTCAGTTGTATTGAATAAATTACCTAAGCCCTAAAGTAGTTCATCCTAGAGGTCACAGCAGAGGTAATAGAATTGACTTCAATGTGTCAGACCTTTTTCTTTCTCCACCCACCATGCTGGATTTAAAACAGTGCAGTGTTTTTCAGGCCCCTACACTTTGATAACACACATACTTTAGAAATACTACTTTTAAAAGAAATAATTCTATCATCCCTGAATAAAAACTCTGACAGGGTTGACATGTCTGGCCATGCACATTACACCTGCACAACTCCGAGGGCATCCTTCCAATGGGTTGTGGTGTCAGCAGAGCCTCCTGGAAATGTGCCTGCCTTAACTCCCCTTCCTCGAAGGGATAAATGTAGATAATTAGAATGTCCCAGGAATCACAAACTTAAAATGAGCAAAAACAAAATTTTGTGGTCACTCAAACCTTTTGGAGAAGTTTCAATTTAACAAAAAACACCTCTAAGGACCCCTCAGTGGCTCAGTGGTTAAGCCTCTGCCTTCAGCTCAGGTTATAATCCTGGGATGGAGTCCAGCATTGGGGTCCCCACAGGGAGCCTGCTTCTCCCTCTGCCTGTGTCTCTGCCTCTCTCTCTGTGTCTTTCGTGAATAAAAAATCTTAAAAGAAAGAAAAACTACCTCTAAATGCTTTTTATTTTATTTTTGTAAGGTGTTCATTACCTGGCATTGTATGCATAATAGAAGCTGAAATTGAGACGAGCACTGTGCCATGGCCAGAAGGAAAGGAATAATTAACATTAACCATTCATATTGCTCTAGGAATTTAGAACTGGAAATTAATTTTCTAGCAAGTCAGTGGGAAATTTTTTATAAATTGGTCATTAAAATGACTCTGGTGTTACCAATTAAACATAAGAGATTACTTGAGAAAATCCCCAACTGACTTGGTAGCAAGGCCCAGTATGGGAAGAGAGAGAAGGATCCAGTTGTTACTAGTATTATGTATCCAAATCTATGTCTGCATTTCATAGGAAGCAAAATATGTCATTTGGTGAAATTGAAGGATTAGTTGTAATAAGTAAGGATAGAATGTTATTCCTAAATTTATAGCAAGCACATGATAAAGCAGAACTTTTAAATTATAGGTTTGGATGAAATGTGGAACAAAAGACCTGCATTGGCCCCTGTAACAACTGGCATAACAATGTGATAATTACAAGCTACACTTTAGCCCTCACGCCCTCAAGTGCAATTTACTGAATAGATTAACAAGGAGCAACAAAGAAAGAGACTAACCTTTACAAAGGCCTATTTTGCGCCACATACTGTGTTAGATCCATAACTATTACTGATTCATTTAATTCTCATTATCCTCTGGAAAGTGGATGTTGCCCTCCTATTTAATATGCTGGATTTCTGCAGGATTATAAATACTCACAATCACCTAATGACAACACCCAAGTTATTACTGACTCAAATACCATGCTGTTTCTGCTATCCTAGAATGACTCTCAGATAAGGCATAGTAGGTGAACAAACTTGGGAATATTTTCATGAAGAACAATCATAATAGCTAACAAAGGAACTCTAATTATAAGGAACAAGAACTGCCCAACTAATCAAATGCTGTTTGCTGTGGTTGATAATGACCAAAAAGGGGTACCCTACACAGTTTTAAAGCTGTTTTGATGCTGCTTAATGAAATGATCCCTCTTTCATTTTTTCTTTGCTCAATTCACTGTGAAGAAATGATCTCCAGGACTGCCTTGCATTTTTTCCATGATGGCCAGTTCTGCAAATGCCAATTAGAAATTACTTAAAAAATTCTAAAAATGTTCATGTGAGAACTGTTTGACTTAGAGACATGGACATTGAAACATGTCCAAGTAAACTATTTTTTTTATTTATGATAGAGAGAGAGAGAGAGAGAGAGAGAGAGAGAGAGAGAGAGAGAGAGGCAGAGACACAGGCAGAGGGATAAGCAGGCTCCATGTACCGGGAGCCCGACATGGGATTCGATCCTGGGTCTCCAGGATCGCGCCCTGGGCCAAAGGCAGGCGCCAAACCACTGCGCCACCCAGGGATCCCTCCAAGTAAACTATTACTAGGAAAGTTGTGTGTGTCTGTGTGTGTGTGTGTATGTATATATACATACACACACACACACACACACACTAAATAATGAGGAGCCTGTGAGACTTTTGCTTCAGTTAAATTATTTCAATAAAATCATACTTAGCTCGCACTATGTTCATATTATGCAAAGATAAAAGTAATCTTCATAATGAAGTAAAAATGGATGTTAAATCACATGGATTGGCTAATAACTTCTCTACATGGATTTTCACGTTGAGTGATGGTAAAAATCGGTAGATACTGTTCAGTAAGCACTTAATTGAGTGCCAAGCACTGTGATGTGCTCCCAAACATTATTGTGTTTAATCATTGCAACAAGTCTGTGAGCTAGGCATTCTTGTCTCCACGTTAAAGAGAAGGAGGTTGAGTTTTACTGATATTGAAGAACCTGGCCAGAATTACACAGGTTGGACCGAAATCTCATCTGGATATTCAGCATGTGTATAGATGGCCAAAGCCATGACTTTAACTACTACTCTATGCTATTTATAATTAGGTGGTATTTTAGAGAAGAGGATTTATTTTTATTTTTTAAATGAGCAGCAAATATTTGGAAATCTCTTCCTACTGTCTTTTTTTTATTATTTTTTTCTTACAGGGAACCAAAGTCCTGCAGATGTTCATGTGGTACCTGAATCCTCGGCAGGTCTTTGATCTTTCTCAGGAAGGGCCAAAAGATGCGTAAGTCTGGAAATAAACCCCCCATGGTCCATATTGGTTTAGGCAAAGAGAAGGACTTCTGCAGCAAAGCCAAGCTTCACTATTAGATTCCCTCGTGAAATATTTTCTGACCATCTCTCATTGACTTTCTCCACTGCAATCATCTCCCTTAAAGCTTCATCTGATGTTTCTCCTCCTACTCTTTACTGGGCTAATTTCCTTCAAACCCAGCTACTCAGTTATCAACTCCAGGTGTACTTCTAGTGTGTTTGCTGCTTATGGACATGGTCTGTAGATTATTTACAAGTCTGCCTTGAGAAAAGATTCATCATTTTCCTATCTATACAAGTACAACTTTGGAGGTGTACATTAGACTCTAAGTATATCTTTGGAGAGTGGCCATAATTGCTTATGAATATGTTTGTGTGTGTGTGTGTGTGTGTGTGTGTGTCCGTTTGAGACAGATTAATTGAATCTGCCTATGATTCCACATCACAGTGGGAAGACATTTTATTTTCTGCTCAATCCCTTTTCTGAGCTTCTCAGACATTTCATTGTCTTTGTTAGAAATGTTGAAAATCAAGTTTAGATGTCAGTGACATGTATCCCTTATCTTTCCTTTGGTGGTGGTGGTGCTGTACATGGTAACAAAGAGCAGAGCTGTTTCTGCTACTGTCTGATTCCCTTTTTAAAACCCATGTATTAAGAGAGTTTGGATGTCATCTGATAAATGTTAGAACTTAAGTGGTACTAATTATTTTTAAATAAGTAATGATATTGCAGGCAAAGTAACCAGTTCAGATAATTTCTAGAGAAATAATATTCCTGTATGAAATGGATAAATCATATATTTTAAATATTCAGGAGAACATTAAATATAAAAATTACTTTCTGCTGTCATTCTTTTAATCTATAAACTTTTTTGCCACTAGAGTTCGCTATAAAACTTCTAGATTTTTTTTTTTCTGTATTTGGATGGACTAAGGCAAATCTGCTACCCCAGCTTTGGCCCTTTTAGATGCTTTTCTTAAAATCTTATGACTTTGGTTAGACTTAGGCAGAGGCTTCATAGATCATCATAAAGAATGTGGCCAGATAGGAGATATTTCTAGAAAAAAAAACAGTTGATTTAAAAGGTGATGTTTTCTACAACAGAAGTTCTAACAGCTTCACTTAAGTAAATGTTTTAGCAGGGGTGGTATAATTTTATTTTCTCAAGAGCCAACATGAAAAATGATCCATTTTAAAGTAGACTAATTTTAAATACAGAAAAACCAGTAAATCTTCCCCTTTTTGGGCTGGGGAGTTTAAATTTGTTTTTGAGTGTTAGTGAATGAGTGGAGAGAGAGCTAGAATTGTAGGTGTGGTAGTAATGCTAGTGGATATCCTCCTATCACCCTGTTTTTCTGAAATGACTTACTGGAATTAAGAGTGGAAAGTACATATTTGAAAAAAAAATCCAGGAAAAGCTGACAAAATATAAAGAGGAGACATATAACGACTACTGACCATCGATTAATGATGATTTTCTTTGAGAAAGGTAGAAGGGGTATGATGGCAAAAAGAAAAGGAAGTCAAAACTAATTAAGAAAATAATGTGAGTTAGAAGTCTTTATGTTCTGTGACCCTTTCTGATATCTCCCACACATTTCTTCTCCCTTCCCTTATATTCCCCTTCACTATTATTCATATTCCCCAAATGAATGAGAACATACACTGTTTGTCCTTCTCCAATTGACTTACTTCACTCAGCATAATACCCTCCAGTTCCATCCACGTTGAAGCAAATGGTGGGTATTTGTCGTTTCTAATGGCTGAGTAATATTCCATTGTATACATAAACCACATCTTCTTTATCCAAGGAGGGCGGGGGGTGGGGGTGAATGGGTGACGGGCACGGAGGGGGACACTTGACGGGATGAGCACTGGGTGTTATTCTGTATGTTGGTAAATTGAACACCAATAAAAATTAATTTATATATATAAAAAAAAGAAGAGATCAAAAAGGGTGTTGCCTCTTGACGGGATGAGCACTGGGTGTTATTCTGTATGTTGGCAAATTGAACACCAATAAAAAATAAATTTATTATTAAAAAAATAATAAAATAAAATAAGTAGGACATACTGTAAAAAAATCAGTAAAAAAAAAAGAAAATAATGTGAGTTGATGTATTAATAGGAATTATGGGAAATAAAACTCTGAAATCCCATTCCAATGTCAGCCATTTAAAAATGATTTTTGCTGCCAACCTCTGATGCAGTTGTTGGGGCCCATCCCCTTGTGATGACTTAGTAACTAGTTATGATAACATCATTATCCTCATGATTATACAATTTCCCCAGTGGACATCCCCTTCTCCTTTTTTGCCCTGTGTTTTCTCTCTGCGATGGCTGATGATGTACTCTTTTGTTTACTTCATGTTCTTTTTCCTCTACAGGCTTGAGTTATATAGGAAAGTACCAAATCTGCGAATTCTGGCCTGTGGAGGGGATGGAACGGTAGGTCCTTGAATTAGAATTAAGCTCTCTTCCCTATTTCTTCCATCTTTCTTTTGTTTTCTTTATTCATTCTCACCTCTTTCCAATCCCCTAAAACATAGGTCTCTGTCATGTGAATCCTAGCTTGAAGAAGGGATGTGGTTATTGTCCTAATGGATTCATACTTGGTCTTCCTAAATTATATCTTACTCCCTCAGCTCTACTGTATCCCTTCCTGTCCTACAAGGTAAAGATGTGGTCAGATTATTAGGATGAAAGTTACAGATGACTAAATTCTTAAAAAAAAAAAAAAAAACAACAACACCAAATACTTCATTTCCTTTGGTTCTTAATAATTGGTCGCAATTGGGGCACCTGGGTGGCTCAGTCAGTTAAGTATCTGCCTTCAGTTTAGGTCATGATCCCAGGGTCCTGGGATTGAGCCCTGAGTTGGGCTCCCTGCTCAGTGGGGAGCCTATTTCTCCTTCTCCTCTCTGCTCATGCTCTCTTTTGCTAACTCTGTCTCTGTCTCTCAAATTAATTAATTAATTAATCAATCTTTAAAAAATAATTGTTCACAATTATGAAATAAAAGTATATGGAAAAAATTATTGTATTTGTTCTTTTATTAGTGAAGACAAAACTTAGAATGCTGACATTGGTTTGCCTTAAAGATCATTGATTGGTCTCCTTTGTATTCATTTTTTAAGAAAAGATGGAATTGGGCTGAAGTTTAATATCATGGGTATATTTTCCTCTATTTGTCTCATCTGTTTCTCCATTTACTCTCTACTTATGTTGGTATATTTAGCAAAGGCAAAGAATTGAGAACCATGACATTTAGACTCTGTTGTCAGGTGTCTTTTTCTTCTGTATTTGGAGTTTGCTCTCATGGGATCTGGAGTTTTATTATGAACTATCTTTGGCTTTTCTCTAATCTCCCTAATTAGAATGCTTTATTCTCAAAGGTAGCATCAAAATCTTTTAACTATCTCTCATAGCACTTAATGCAGCATTGGATACACATTAAATACCAATAAATGCAACTGGAAAAAAAATAGAACAGTGTTTCCTGGTCCCTTACGTTACTCCATGAAGATGAAAATATTTTTCAGTTGGGAAAATAGTGTTTACCATTTGTCAAAATTTACAATACACATTATTAGCTTATAAAATTCATGATAAAATCATACAACTGAGAAGCCAAACGTGTTTCACTTTATTTAATCCAGTGTTTTCCAAAACTATTTGACCATGGAATTTTTTCTACCACAATACCAATTAAAGATCAATCAGTTGCAGTGTTCTAGGAAAATATACTAAGGGATAGGCTAGTTTGGAATTTTCCCAACTTTTTTAGTAGAATTATATCCAAGCAAATCCTCTAGGGATATATGTGTATTTAATATCTATCTATCTATCAATCAATCATCTATCTATAATCTATCATCTATCTATAGTGTGTGTGTATTTGTGTACATATATAAATATATTAAATATATATTAGTATATTTGTTATGTTTAGCATACACACACAGAATGTTCCTCTTAGCTCAGCTCTCCCCAGAAAGTTATCTTAAAGTGTAAGCTTATTGTGACCATTTACTACAGTTCTTTTCCTTAAGTTAGAATCCCCTTGTCTTCCTATATGGCTTTAGCATTTGCTCCCATCTTTTCTCCATCTCAGTGATAGCAGCAGAGAAGTTGGAGATTTGCCTGCTGTCCTGAATTCATAGTTTTTATCCTTTCTTAACCCAAGTGGCTATGACTTCAAACCCACATCCACCTCCTATTCCATCTCTACGTCTTGGACTTCAGCAGTGATGGAGTGCCACGCCTTCCAAATTTCTCCCATCATCACGGAGCCTTCTGGCAGCTGGCTCTCACTTCTCCTTTCTTCTCCCTTTCCTCTACTCAGTGGGCACATATAGGAAGCACATTCTAGGTTTTGTGGTTTTGAGGCATTCTCTTCAAGTAGAGACATATTTGAAAACCTGGAGGTTTTTTTTAAAATTTTTATTTATTTTATTGAAGTTCAATTTGCCAACATATATCACCCAGTGCTCATCCCATCAAGTGCCCCCCCTCAGTGCCCATCACCCAATCACCCCAACCCCCACACCACCTCCCTTTCCACTATCCCTTGTTGAGAAAACCTGGAGTTTTAAAGCCTAAAGGACAAAGAGAAGAGAGCCGAGTCCAGACACTTGTGACAGGCCTGTGATTAGGGAGTCAGGGCCAAAGTTCAAAAGGCAAATGAAAAGACAGAAGTAGAAAGGACCACTTGTAGTCTAGTCTGTCAAGAAAAAAACAAAAACAAAATACAAAGGAGTTTCAAGAAAGAGGCAGTGGTTATATCTTGAGGGAGAGTCCGGAGAATTATCATTGATTTTGAAGACTAGTAGGTAACTAGTGGTTTTTAAGAAAACCATTTCAATGGCGTGTTTGGTACAAAACCCAGAATGACGAACAAGTGAGACATGATAGATTGCTAATGAATCCTAAAGACCAGATCCAATTACAGTGTTGAATATCTGTGAATACGCCCTGGTGCCATTAATAACACCTTTTTGACACGAAGACTACCTAGTTCTCCACTTAGCCTGTCTTTTCTAGCATCCTTTCTTTAAATATACCATAATTAATAGGTACTCTACAAGGCTAGATATTACTCTTCTTTTATGTTCTAGGTAGTTTTTCTCTAGGGACTGTGTCTATGTTCCTGGCTTCGATTTTCACGTCCTTCCACACTACTTGCGAATATACTAGACATTTATATTCAGGTCCCTCACAACAGGCATGCCTAAAAAGGAAAGTTGTAGATTTACCCTAGAGTTGGTGCATATTTTGTACTAATTATTTTCTCAGTAGTAACCCACTGTGATTTAATCACTCAGAATCAAGACTTTGCTTATCTTGTACCTTATATAAAACCAGGTTTTATTTTATTTTGCTTTACATGGTTAAAATGGATATTTTGTGAAAGATGCCTGGAGTTTATGAAATGTTTTTCTGGGTAAGTGATCGATATTTTTAATCTCATTAGTTTAGGATATGAAACTTTTACTTTTGAGTAGGGGCAGAGTTTCTGTAAAGGCGAGACCTCCTGATGGATTTATGAAGAAAGCTTGCTGGCTTGAGGCAAGTGAAGACGAATTCCTGAGAGTGTCAAGTAGACATTTGACATGAGGCATTCAGCCTTTACTCAGCGAGCATGTCTATCACCATAGAAGCTGTCAGAATTCTGTCTGTATAGTGACAAGGTTCCAGGCAGAATCAGGAATGGGATTTTTATTCTTTGACTGATTAGGAGGAGGATATATTAACCCTTAACTGCACTAGTTTGTGCACGGAGTATTATTTCACATATAGATGTCTCACGTTAATTTGGAAACAAGTTCGTTGGCTTCACTGCCAAAGTTCTGCGTCGCTCTGCCTCCTTGCACCTCTAAATAACCCATCCTCCAGCACTGCACTTGGAGCCAGAAGAGTTGGTTGGGTGCCTATATTTCTCTGATTTTCAGCAGGTTCCTCACCCTTCTTTGAGACCTTCTAAATTTGCAAAGGGGTACATCTGCATCACTAAGGGTCTTCATAGTGTTAGCGTTGTAACAGTACAAACCTTTGCTGTTCAGGAGACCCACAATACAAACCACATTTTTAATTTTTCTAAGTCACTTAAAGTCAGAGGCAGATGAAATTAATTTTATAATATATTTCATTTAACCTAATATATCTAAAATGTTATCATTTCAACATGCAATCATAGAAAAACCACGGACGAGATAGCTTATGTTCAATTTCTACTGTCTTCAAAAATCCAGTGCATATTTTTACTCATAACAGCACCTCCAGTTTGTATGGGGGCACATTCCAGTGCTCAGCTGCCACACGTGACCCATGGATGCTGCAGTGGACAGTGCAGATGTGGTCTCTTTGTAACCAGTTAGTGTAATCCCAAGGCTGTCACATAGTTGCGGGTATTGGATGGGCTTGTCTCATCTTTGATCTCTAGGCTGAAAGAAAACTCTCCTAGTTCAAGAATAAGCTCAGACCTTCAGGTTTATAAACTAGGTTTTTTTTTTTTTTTTTTTTTTTTTTTTGTCATGTGAATTTATATTCTTTCCCTTCCTTGGCCACATCTCTACCCATCTAGCGCCCCATAACTGTCCCCATAGCTGCTTAAATATTGAAGGGCATATGAACTCAAGACCCTAGAGGCACACATACCCACTCACCCCCCACCCCTCCTGCTGGTTCCTTAAGGTATAAGGTGAGCCCTACCTATTTGGCTCCTGACCTTGATAACTGGGTGGGATCCACCTTTAACCATGTTCACGTCTTTCCAAAGGCCTAGAGTTAAACTATTTAGCCATCTGCTTCATGCTTATTTCCTGATCACTTGGCTTCCCTAGATGAGGATCCACCCCAAGCAGTAGGTGCCTCCATGCCCTGACTTACTAGAGCCACCGCAGGGTGGCAGGCACATCATTCCAAGCCCCTTTCCTCCCAAAGCCTCAGTTTATCTCTGTCTCTCCACCTCCATCTCTCTCATCTTCTATCTTGATTTCTTTAGGGCTGACTTTAAATGTTTCTTGGAACTCATGGTGACTTGTAAACTACTAGATACGAATATAAATTAAAAATATCAAAGGGAAGAATCATCGTGTACATGTTAGAAAGGGACACCCAGGCAGTAAATGCTATCTTGACCTTTCAGTTCAGAAATGCTGGCCTTTTCTTTTGATTTCTCAATTGCACATCCTTCATCTTTTTGCCAGCATGTGAGGAAATGTGACATGTACCTGGTCTGTTCAGAGAAAGCGTCAATTCACCGATCTTCCCACCCCTCGGCCGCCTCTAATGTTTGTACATTGCAGAATGAAAATACTGCTCAGAATGCACCGGGTGAACATTTAGTGGTAGCTAAAGCAGGAGTTGGGGAGGCGGTGGCAGCACTGACCAGCTGCAGGTGGCACCGCGGGGCTGCTCAGGGACAAAACCCAGGACCCCTGTGTTTCAGAACCCAGAGGCAGGAAGGAGCTTGCAAACTGGGAAATGGTTTCACCCAATCTGGATAGTTTTCTTCAGTTGTGATAGAAAATATGCCAAGTACTGTGTTTTACGATTAATTAAATTTAACTGAAGGAGTGCTGGATGGGCTGGTGCAGACGATTTGGGGAAATGTGAAAGCCTAGCATGCCACAAACCTGAAGCCTGGATTTCCAGAAGGAACAGGTTCCTGATAAGGGAGAGGCCCCAATAACAGCTTTGGGCCTGAAGATCTTTTATAGAGTTTTGCTTTTATAAGGACAGGTACAGATGATTATTCAAAACCTTTTATGCCTCTTGCTATTGTAGTATATTTACTTACATTCTCTCTCTCTTTCTCTTTGTAGCAGTTTTCTGCTTCAGTACAGTTTGGTTTTTGATAGTCTCTGAAAGACTTTGTGATGGGTGGCAGTCAAAAGTGGGATTGATATGCCACCTTGAGGCTCCAACTTTAAGTGGCGAGGCAGGAAGAGGGCATTTGGCTTCTAGGAAACTGGACCTTTATAGGGGAAGTGAAGAGGAAGAAAAATTAAGCTTAATCACAGCAGCTAATGTTAATTAAGCATTTCCTATTTGCCAGTGCATGCTAAGAAATGTCTACACGTTATTTAATTGATAACATAACCCTAAGAGGCTTGAGAGACAGATGAGGGAAATTGGAAAGATTAAATGGTTTACCTAAACTCGCCCAACTAGCTTGTGATGGAGCCGGGCTCACTGGGATCTGTTTCTCCCTTCAGCCCTACATTCTGTTGCCTACTGAGGAAGTTGGTGTTGGCTAATATGGCTCTTGGATGAGAAAAACTATTAAGGACTGTGCAAAACAAAGATACAGGTTCACCTCTGCTAAAGAACTATGATTAGCCTAACATTGATGGCACTTGAGAGAATTTCATGACAAATCTTGGCTATGAAAGGCAGGTGACCTCTCATGACATCACAGTTATGTGATGATGGAATACTAAACCAGCTGATTGTATCCAGGAGAAAAATGGAATATTTGTCCACTGGAAAAGAAAGTAGGACATATTTATGCAGTAAATATATTTTTTAAAGATTTTATTTATTCATGAAAGACAGAGAGAGAGAGAGAAAGAGAAAGAGAGAGGCACAGACACAGGCAGAGGGAGAAGCAGGCTCCATACAGGGAGCCTGATGTGGGACTCGATCCTGGGACTCCAGGATCACGCCCTGGGATGAAGGCAGGGGCTATACCGCTGAACTACCCAGGGATCCCTATTTATGCAGTTCTTAAATCAGTTGCTAAGAAAGGAGAAGATGTTTGATTCAAATAGGTTGTTATGCATTTTCCTCTTTTGCTTAGGCCAAGTGTGAGGGACAGAGAGTGGATGAGAAATCCAAGTGTCCTGAGGGCTCCCACATAGTAAAGTATCATATGGATTCTTGGCCACTTTCTTTGAAAAAACAGGAACAGCGTCAGAAGGTTTGAATGAGGGCTATTGTACAAATTAAACAATTAGTAGAAGATCAATTCATGACAGTTACAGGGCATTCATTCGTTTCAGTCATTTGAAAAGTATTTTTATTTCATGCACTGTGAACTAATCCCCTATCCTTCCCATCCATCTTGGTATTAGTGTTCTTCCTACGATTTAGAATTTTTCTTTGCAGGCTCCTCTTCAGAGGAAGTTAGTTTGTTGTGTTTTGTCTTTCTCTTTTCTTTGTCTGCATCCTTTCACTTCCCAGTGATCCTTATCACTTCCTAGTCATTTGCATGGTTGCCAGGACTCTGGGACTTGAGGGTTTTTTTGTAGGTGAGTCAGGCACCCATCCCAGGGAGATGTTGGGTGTTGGAGGTATGTCAGTGAGCCAGTAGGAAGGTGGGCCCACTGCTAGAGACTTTGTCCTTCCAGCCTCAACGAGTCTCCACTGTCTTTGGGCTATGACCTGGTGCAGGTGTTCTTCACCCTTTTCTAGCCTCTCTCCTACTGGCCAAGAGGCCCATGAGGGGTCTCATTCATATGTGGCCTCCTGCCAGGAGGGGTTAACATTAACCCCCTATTATCAGACAGAAGCTAAACTCCTGTCTTCATCTGCTTGCCATTTTGTGTTTGGTTTGCTTCTGGTCCCTGAAGATTTATTTTTCCTATCATTGTGTCTAGAGTGCAATGGGTATTGCAAATGTGAATACATGACATTATTTTACCAGGAGAAAAGAGACTTGTTTCACCAAAGCATAAGAAAAAAAAAATCTAATTTAAGTCTACCTGAAAGAAAGTAGATTGACTTGTGAGTATAATTCATAAGGAGGAGACTGAGTGTTCATCTCTTGGAGAAGTTTTAAAGAGATTGCCTTCTTTACCGGGGACATCAGACTTGATTTCCACCAAGTTTCATCATGTTTCTGAGAGTCTCTGAGTCACAGAGCTGTTTACATTTGTAGTCAGTGATTCCTGATTGCTAGGATTCCTGAGTTTTCATGTCTTGTTGTAGTTTATTAGAGGGATCTTACGGTGTGCAGTTCGTGCTTTTAGCAGCACAGGTACTGTAGCTAGCAGAACTATTTAGCATCTGACCTCTACTTCAACAGCAAGCTTTGTTAATACCATCTGTAAAAAAACTAAGAACGTGTGGGGTCAGAATCTATGGAGTCATCTAGGAGTGACTTGCTCAGTTTGAGGGAATTGAGGGACTTCTAGATACTTCTTTAGATCTGGATTTTTAGTTTCTCATATTGGGTGAACATGATGGTATGCCTTTCTAGGAGGTAAACACAATGTAGGCTTCTTAATGGACAGGCAAGTTTTACTTCCTGGGAAGAAATATTGTGGTGGAGAAAGGATGGAATCTCTAGATGGAATCAAGAGACCTGATAAGATTCTGATGCTGAGACTCCTAATTATTTAGTCTTGAGCAAATTACATGATCTCTTTGCAGCTCAGTTATTAAATCTGCAAATTAACTGAATTTGATAGAGCAATTGCTAAGATTTCTCCAGCGCTCCAAAGATTCCAAAAGAACATGCTGCTGTCTCCAGCATGGTCAGACTATATCCAGAATTAGTTTTAGGTCTTTATTTAAAGGCTCCCTGCACCAGAGTGGCTAAGATGTTAGCCTTGGTGTTTGGCATACCTAATTTTGAATGCAAGCTATACTGCATAAACGATATGATATTAAAGAGGTCATGGAATCTTCCAAGTTTTGGCTTCCTTATCTATAAAATAGAGGTGAAAATTATTTCTACCTTACAGAATTGTTCTGAACTTTAATAATATGATTACAGAGCTTTACTCAGACATCAGCACATAGAAAGCAAAGGTATGTTCCTCTCTTTGTTCATTGTAAGCTCTTTGACAGCAGCCGTGTACCTTACTTATCTTAGCCTGGCTCATTCATCTTATTTCAGTTGCTTAATTCTGTTTTGTATGTAGTAGTGTTCAGTAAACATACTATTACAGCACAATTTTTTAAAAAATTTGAATAGGACTCGTACAAATATAGAATATATGCATGTCAAATTTATTTAGCTCTTTAATGAAGGAACCAGCAAGATGATAAAGTTGATTTATTAGAGAAGTAGAAGAAAAAGACTATGTAGTTTATACCAAAATAATTTTTCTAAGTTTGACACATAATTGGTTTATGGCCTTATGGAGGAGTAAAACCAAACCTTTAACATAATCATTTATTGTCGACATTTGTATCTCCACAGTACAGAAATCTGCCCGTTAACCTACAGTCACAAAGTTCTTAGGCCTAGTGAAACACTGTTTTAGTATGACATTGGGAGGATATGCAAGTTTCTTTTTGCTATTTCCAAGTTTGGGATAATTATTCTAAATAGTTACAAGACCAAACCTAAAGTATTATTTATTTTAGAAAAAGATTAAATGGGAATATGATTCTAGTATATAAGTATCTATTTTCTGCCTAAACTTATAATAAGTCCCTAGGACCATCCATAATTATGTTTTCATAATGTTTCATTAAGAAGAATATAAGGATGTTTAGGAAAATGCTACTAATTTCTTACATGATGCTATGGAGGGTAACCATTTAATGAATGCTTACATGGACCATATCAAGGGCTTTATATATATATTTTAGTTTAATCTGTAAACAATCTTGTGAGGTAGGCATTATCTCCATTTTGAAAATCAGGTAAATAAGTCTCAGTGAGGTCAAATAATTTAATCAAGATTATGTAGCCAATATGAGCCAGAATTGAAATTCAGTCTGATTCTGAGTTTTGTATTGTTTCCAGTGCCTATGTTATAAACCTCCCTAAAGTTCAAACTGTTCTGAATTTTAAGGTAGATCTCAAGTTAAACATATAGGTAAGTGGGTCTAGTTTTGCTTATATGACAGCACATACAAAATGGCCCTTCTCCCTATAAAGGACTCGCCGTTTTGAAACTGCTTGAGATAAGTGGTCTGTTTCCTGGCCACTAGATTAAAACATATATGTTTTCAAGAAAAACCATTTCATTTGCTTTTTAAAGCTCCCTTCTCTCAGGTTGTCTTTGTAACTTACCTATCTTTCTTATATCCCTTCTGGCCCCCAAAATGTCTCTAGGTGGGCTGGATCCTTTCTATTCTGGATGAACTACAGCTGAGCCCTCAGCCTCCCGTTGGGGTCCTTCCTCTGGGGACTGGGAATGACCTGGCTCGAACTCTCAACTGGGGAGGGGTAAGAACTTTTCTAAGGGGCTGCCCATGCCATCAGGCAGGAGGAGCCTTGAATCCACAGATGTTCTAATGGAAGGGAAATGTGCTTTTATTGTCCAAAGAATAAGTTAGAATTCAGAATCAGGGAGCCCATGCATAAGGATTTTATCTGGGACCTTCTTCAGTTTAAACATTTAATCATCTAGAGAAGAAAGTATGGTATACAAAACAGGAGTTAGTACACAGGCTTGGAGCTTCTTGAGGTAGCCATTGGAAAGCAGTTGGGTAGGTTGGCCTCAAGTCTTCATCTAAAACAATTACACAGACCTCAACTGATCCTGAGTGTAGCCCTGGCTACAATAGCCAGTCTGGTTCAGATTACAATCTTTAAGTCAAGGAGAGTTACAGCTTTTTTGGAGCATTTTGTTTTTTTGGTTGATGCCATCATTGGCTTTGTTGGGCAGGTAGCCAGCTGTCCTTTCCACCATAGAGCCAACTTTAAGCAAGCTTAGTGGAAGAAGTATACCTGTTACTATCTAGCCATTTTATTAATTTTTCTAGGGTGTTAAGATAGTAAGAAGACAAATTTGCTAACATATGCGATCCCACCAGCTTTTTATCTACTCATATGAGAGATTAGGCTGGGCTCCATGAAAATTCTCTTCAGATATTAGCAGATACTGATTTGACCTTTGTGTGAATCAACTTCCCTTAGGTGATAATTATCTTCATATATTAACAGATATTGATTTAACATTGAATGAATTAACCTCCCACAGGTCTTTCTTATTTTTTCAAGTGAGCATAGTATAAATGCATTAGTTGCTTCGTGCAAATATACTTATCACTGTTAACTCCTCTCATCTACATCAATAACTTGACTATCCTTAATAATCATGCTACAAATAACACATACTCAAGGAGTGAGTGGGTGTCTGATACAGCTGTGCTTCAGACAGACTTGCCTTAGGTCATAGAAGGAACACAGAAAGAGCTCACTACAAGGTTAGGGAGAGGTGAATGAGGTGGAAGGTTAATAGAAATAGTTGTCTATCATATACCACCTTGATTCTTTTCCTCCTTTTCCGCACACACTCTTGTTCTATATATGTCTCAGATTCCTCTATTATGAGGCTTGGGTAATTCCTGTTTTCATTCTGATAGAAGCAACCAGCCAGCATGGCCCTCAGATGCCTACCAGTGACATTGGTTGTTGATGGTGGCAAAAATTACTTCTCAACTTAAATCAGTTAGAGCAATATTTCTATGCATATTGCCTGTGACTATTGTCCTAGATTCTAACTACTTCAAGAAAACCAGTTTACCTTCCCAGCCTTGATAATTGTAAAATAAACAGAGATCTATAGCAGAAGGGCTCTTGCTTGCATGAAATTCCTTTGGCTATACTGTTCCAAGTGGCAATGGGTATATTCTTTGATTCCTTAGGGCTACACTGATGAACCTGTCTCTAAGATCCTTTGCCAAGTAGAAGATGGGACAATCGTACAGCTAGATCGTTGGAACCTCCATGTGGAAAGAAACCCAGACTTGCCTCCAGAAGAACTTGAAGATGGCGTATGTAAGGTGAGAGAGTTTTTTCTTCAGTGGAAGGGAACCCTGGAGCATGTACCTGAGCCACAGGAAATATACTGCTGGCTGGAGAAGCCTATGCTGATTCCTTCCTATGAGATAAGAGGATGATGTTTGAGTTTATGGCTATTAGGACTACAAATATGACACTCCTTAGTGATTCTGCCCCCATAGACTTCTAAAGATTGAGGTTTCCTACCTGCTTCCAGACCTCTGTCCTCAACTTCCACACCAAAGAGAATATATTCATTTTCTAATCTTTCAAGCATTGTAAATTCATAACCTATGAGAAGGTGGAAAATATGGATGGTGTAAATTCATAACTAACCTATGAGAAGGTGGAAAAATGGTTCTGAAGCATTAGGCATATGGTCTTTCAATGGAAAGATAACCTCTCAAGATTTCTAGTCTCATACTAAATATCTCTTATGTATAAGAAATATTAACTTAGTCCATTTGATTACTTGATTAAGACTTAAAGATGCCTAAATAAATATTTTGACTTAGTATTTTTCCTTCAATGATTGAGCTTTCATTTCCACCCAAGGCAAACCAAGAGACACAATTGTATATATGTTAGTATAGAGCTTCAGTAGAACATTTGGTTCTAAGTTCTGGCCTCAACTTCAGATAAATCTGACAGATTGCCAAATAACCATGTTCTGCATATTACTTTCCACTTTTCTTCTGTGATAGTGTTTTCAAGGTTTTGCATGCATAAGAACCTCCATATGCATCTGTTAAAAATGCAGATTATGGGGCCCAGACCCCATTAATTCTGATTAAGTAAGTGCAGAGTTAAGGCCCTGAACCTATACTTTAAATGACATCCCTACTTTATTGGATTATGCAATTGATAGAGCCAAGATTGTCATGGATGTTTCCACTTTAAAATATGTTGAACCAGATATCCTTCCCAACTAAACCAAAACCTATTTATTCATTAGCAACATGATCCTGACCAATTGTGATAAACACTCAATCTATGGCTAAGATAAGTTAAAAGGTGTTTTATTTTGTCTTCATGTTTTTTTCCCCCAAAACTATGATCCAGAAATTATAAGGTTTCTAACAGGTATCATGACTGCTTAGTGGATTTGCATTCATAATGTCACAATGTTGTTTGAAACCACAGGTATCATTTTGGGATATGATGTTTTTTTTCTGATGTGTTTGACCTACAGAAATTCAGTAGAATACAGCCAGTGTGAAAAGAATTATACCATATGGAGATTTTAAGGTCCTTTCCCCACCAAACTTAGAATGCTTCGGCCGTCAGTAGAAATCTCTATTTAAATCTCTTCCCAACAACTTAAGAAATGGAAAGACTCCTTGGTGCAGCCAGGGAGCATTAATTCAGATAATTAAAGGGCTTTGAAAACTTGGATTTTTGAGGAGATGTGTAGGAAATTGGGACAATTTTCCCTGGAAAATATGAATAAGAACTTAATAACAGACTAAGTTGGGATATTATTTAGGGAATGGTGACCAGATGTTCTCCTAAAGTTATCAGCGAATGCTAAGACATGGGTTAGAATTGTAGCCAAGAAAACATAAATGGTAGGGATGAACATATCTATGCTTTTGGCAAGATCACCAACCCTTGCTGTCATTACTAAAGCTTGGTATTTTGTTTAAGTGCAGCAACTGGACATTCTCAAATATTAAGCCAGGAGAATGAGACATGATTTTGGCATTACTCTGTGTTTTGTTTCTTCCCTGCTCTCCAGTCAGTTGTAAACATTTCTAAGGGGGCTGATTTGACCTATGAGTTTATTATAAGCTCTGACTCAGGGCCTTCTGTAGGGGGTTCATTCTTTCTTTCCATTGGAGACCAAGGCAATCTGTTTTCTTTTCTTCTGTATTAATATCTCTCTTTCTGCTATTCTTCCTCTTGTTTAATTTATCTCTTAATGGGATAAAGTCCTCACTCTAGTCAAACAAAATCTTACTGATTAAGGAGCATATGAACACTTTTGATAAACTTACTTTTGAAATCTTGAGGATTAAACACTTCTAACAGAAGAGAAGTATATTTCTATCTGGAGGCTAAACCTGATAATTATCTGGAAACATTATCCAAGCTGAGATAAAATTGCTTCTCTATTTAACATTTACCTTCTACTCTGAGTTGCAGAGGGAAAAGTCGAAGAGCCACAATTTCCTTTCTAGCATTTTCCACGGGCTTTTCTAATTGTTCTAACATTAAAGCCTTAAAAGCACATGAATTTTGCAGTTATGAAGAAGGATTGTAGGTTGTATCATCTTCTTCTTTACTAAACTTGCAGTGGTAACAGCCAGGGACCCAGAGGACTATAGGAAGACTTCTGTGTGTACATGCATCTGTGTCTGCATATTTCATGGTCTATTAAAGATACAAGATCTAATAGACTTCTGATAGATTCAAATAGATTCAGATTCAAATAGAAATCTGAAAAATACTAACAACTATGTATACATATATTTTTTCCCCCTGTAGATCAGGGATAGCTGAATGTTTCCCACTGCCTTATTGCTTATGACATATGTCAAAAATATATTTTAAAAAATTAAAGGGTAAATGTTAAATATTATTCATTATAAGTTGTAGTATTAATATGCTGAATATAAATCCTCAAAAAGTTTATCCACTGATTAGCTTACACATGATCCTTCCAGTTGAATTGACTTTCTAAGTTTACTTAGTCATTCTTTGTAACTATTGCATATGTGCTTCCCTCAGCTCAATTGGACTCTCATTAATATCCACAAGAATAGTTCCCATTTAATAATTTGTTTTTGTTTCACTTGTTTCCTATACCACTTAAGATTCTTGGGAGTGTTATTTGATTTGAGCTTTTACTAATGAATTAAAAAATCACCTGTTCCTTCTATGCAAACACCTTCTACCTCGGGTTGTGACTCATCTTTTTCCCAGGGACTGCCTGAGAGACAGGTGTCTGGCCTCAGGCTGTATTTTACTCTTTCTGCCCAGTTACACACCACTTCACCTCTACTTTGTTCATCATTTCAGCTCCCTCTGAATGTTTTCAATAATTACTTCAGCCTTGGATTTGATGCCCACGTCACACTGGAGTTCCATGAATCCAGAGGTGAGGACAACGTCCCATTTCCATCTCCCAGAGAGGAAGTTTCCAGCAGGTGTTTTGCATGTTCCCTTCTGCTTGCATATCACTTTAAGTATTGACAGTGTGCTTCAGTGTTGTTCATTTTAACTTTTATGATGACTCTGTGAGCTAGACAAGATAGGAACTTGTTACAGATAGAACCTTGAGATCTAGTTGTTTAGGTCTCAAAGACGTAAAGGATGGCACCAGATATATGTTTCAGGTCTCAGATTGCTAGTTTTTAAGTGTGACTAGAAACTTTGAAGTTAGTGAACTACTAGAAAGTGATAAAGTTTCTTTCACTCAAGTTATTAGGATATTCACAGCTTCTTGAACCACCAATTAGAAAAATACAACACTTCATACACCAGGGCCATTGAAATTAGCAAAAATATACAAATCCTCCCTGGGTGTGCAAAAGAGACAATAGGCATCTTAGAACAATAGGGGAGCTGACAAGTGGTTTAGGTTGAAAGAAGGGGTAATGATTGGATTGGTGGCAGAGGTACTGGGAATGCCCATTGGACAAGCTTGAGGGGTGAATGACACTGAGTGGTAATAATTTCAAGGGCTAAAAGATATGGGAGCAAGATTAGAGAACAAACCATTTTTGAAAGAGAAATAACACAAAATAATGGCACACAGTTAAATACTTCATCAGAACATTTCCTATGCCATTCAGAGCTGAGAAAGTTTAGGATTTGGGCTTATGTTGTAAAGCCCCAATCTTCTGTGCTCATGCTCACTTACTTGGTGTCTCTTCATCTCTCTCTTAAAATCTCTTGTTAATGTAGCTATATGTCTATGCCTTTGCCTGTATCTACATCTACATCACACCTAGTACCTTGTGAATATGTTAATATATAACCAAAACCATGCCAGGCTGTAGGTTAGTGGGTGTGTTGTGAGATAAATGAGAGGATTATTTTACTTCTTTTTCTCCAGATTCTTCAAGAGCATCAGTGGTTTTAACTCCTAGAATTTAAAATACAGAGACCTAAAAGCTAGAATTTGAATGTTCAGATTCTAGTAATAACACAGAAGAAACTCTCTTACACACTAAAGGTTAAGAGTTGAGTTGTAGGATTAAGGGTGTTAGGATACAAAATATGAGTGAAGTCCAAACCTGTAATTCTCTTACTGAATTTAGCAGTTTTGGTAGGCTTTGCCTTCCTGCTTTCATGGGGCTTTGAGGGTCAAATGCTGTGTCAAATAAAAGCAGTACTGATGGAAGAGAAAGCCACAGTTTGACTTCTCTCTTTGAAGGATTAGTTGATAACAGAATACCCAAATATCAAATACCCAGATCAGAAGCACCACCACCCTCCCACCTCCTTGCCATAGGTAGGTCTTGGAGACAGATATTGAGAGAGCCCTACTTGAGGGCCTACATTTATAATCTGTTGGGCTCCCTATATTTAAGGAGACTTAATTTGGGACAGTAAATGGAGATTACTCATTCCTTAACCCATTTGTTTTTCTCTCATATTCTTCAGGAGACTCTGGCTCTGGGCTTACTAATAAAATCCTTAGATTTTTTTTAACAATACTTATAAGTATCACCAATGCATGAATCTCCCAAAATAGATATGGCATGAAAAGAGGCCAAAATGAGTAAGTGGCAGACAACGAGCTCATTCAAAGGAGCCCAATATTTTGTCCAATTAATCTGACAATTTCCTCATGATACATTTCCTTGTTCTCTGATGAAACTTCAGTGTCTTGGAGAGACAGGAGCAGAGACATCAAGGTGGAAAGATTGGGTTCAGAAGAGAATTCTTGAAGGAAAGTCATGGGCTTCTTTGTTTTGTTTTGTTTAGTTTTAAGCTGTGGGACTATTTCATTTATAGAGAGGAATATGCAAACTCTGGTGTATATATACATAGTTTAATATATTTGTAATTATAAAACAATTGGTTAAAAGACTCAAAGTATTAGTCTTTGAATAGTTTATTGTTGAGGCTTAGTAATTTAAATGCTTTCAAGCAGTATGAAATGGTATTACAGACATTTGCCCTGGAGGTAAGCTGGAGCCCTTGTGGAAAACCAGCCACTGAAGAGCTGATAAGGGATGATTGATACTGACTGAGACTAATCTGCAATATTCATGAAGATGGTATAGAGATTTGGTTGATATGGCTATACCAGAAGTGTGGACTTCTTAGTATCTGTTGACCTATTACTCATTTTGCATTAATTAAAAATCATTAATTTATGATGAAAAGTATAATTGCCCAAACCAGTTTTTTGTTTTTTTTTTTTTTTACTTTTTTCTGTTTCTTTGGATTTTCTCCCATATTTTTACCTGGATAGTCAGGAAACCTCAAGCTCACCTGCAAAAGAAAAAGAAAGAGAAGGCTATATTTTCAACTTGTTTCTTTTGGTCTTAAGTGGCTATTCTCAAGCCAAGAACACTAATTGCTGACACTTCAAACTGTTCTCAAATGCAGACATTCACAGTTGGAGGCATCATGACAAAACTTGTATCCTTTGCCATGAAATACTTGGAGGGTGATTCAAAGCCTCATGAGAGCCATTATAAAAAAAATGAGCTTGGATAGAAAAACCTATTAGGTATTAAGAAAAAGATGTGTAAGGTGTGTGTGTGTGTGTGTGTGTGTGTGTGTGTGTGTGTGTGTACTTGGGAATTATGCTAATCTATCTACATGAAATGGGTAATAAATACAAATCTCACTAAGGCAGAGTCCTTAAAAATGTAATTGCAAAAACTATTTTTGGCATATATGTGAAATAGCCCATTGAATAGAGGGGATAATTAGACACAATTGAGATCATTTATTGGTGGCATTACCGTGTAAATGCTTTTAGAATTACCAGTAGAAAATCAAGCAAGGAGTAAAGATAGTCTTAACATTTTGATTGCCTTTGTATATAAAAAATTAAACATTTGAATAATTTTGTTTCTATATTTGATCAGAAGGTAGGGTTAGTTCATTTGATTGGAAAATAGAGATGCTTTCTTCTTATTAAAGTGGCTAAACCATGCATGGTTGAACTGTTGCTTGCATATCAGAAAGTGCAGTCATTTGGAACAGAACTTGGAGATGTAACAGAATTGGCCATTTAATTTTCAGCTGGAGTCTTGCCCAGAACTTTAATAATTATTGCATTATGACAGTGCTTGAGCAAGTGCATTGAAAATATTCTCATCTATTAATGTATAGCCATGTTAACAATGATTATGGTTATCAGGTGGCAAAGTTAGGTCTCACTTTGCCAGCTATATGAATTAGATTGTCATTTCTTTGGACATGAAGGATATTAAGCACCTCAAACTTTTAGCCTGAGATTGGATGCTTAAATTTTACTGCCTCATTGAAATTACTTATCCAGAGGAGTTGAACCTTATGCTACAAGGTCAGGGAAATACAATTATGACTCTAGACAAGGCAGTATTTAAATTTGATTTAAAATTTACAATTTTCATTGAATATATAGAAACATGCAGATTGGCATATTTCTAAGGATTATGAATGTTTCATGATTCATATGGCGAATGAACAGATTTCTTTAAAAAGATGTTCAATGGCTTGCTAAATTTCATCATCATCATCACTGCAAAGGACACACTATCAGTCTTATGTCTGTGTACTGAGACTCAAGCTTGATTTGCCCTTGAGAAATTCTCAGTGTCCAAGGTTCTCTGTCTGTAACCTTCTTTTCCATTTTGAACCTCTGCATGGCACCTGCTCTTCATTCAAGATTCAAGAACACTTTTGATCATTCCCTTTATGTAAGACTGTCACTTCATCTGATATAGGCACCTTTGCATGGCATATAAAGAACGATGTTTTCCTCTGATTTTCTTTTTTTTTTAATTTTTATTTAGTTATGATAGTCACAGAGAGAGAGAGAGAGAGAGAGGCAGAGACATAGGCAGAGGGAGAAGCAGGCCCCATGCACCGGGAGCCCGACGTGGGATTTGATCCTGGGTCTCCAGGATCGTGCCCCGGGCCAAAGGCAGGCGCCAAACCGCTGCGCCACCCAGGGATCCCTTCCTCTGATTTTCAAATCTATCTCCTCCACTCTAAACTCATGAGGGCAAAAGACCACATCTTATATTCTCTGTGCCAAGGCCATGGCTATCTTAATAAATGTTATAATAATGGAAAGTGTAATTAGAGGATAGGCCACATATATAATATAAAAGGTAGAAGTAGAAAGGAATATACAACAGGGACAAGATTAGTTAGTTGTACAGGCAATAAATAATACAGGAATTTGGCAGGAGAAAGGAATCAGAGGAAAATTTCCAGAAAGGGTAGGATGGAGCTGAAAGATAAAGGAGGAGTATGATATATGTAAAAAAGAAGTAAAGTGGCTGAGGGCATTTCAGACAGCAAACTATAGAGGAACAAATGAGCTTGTGTAAAGATGTGGACCAATTAACACATAATGACAGATTTTTACAGTGGTGTTAGAAAAATGGATAGTATTGGTAAACATATTTGTCCTTAATGGGAGAGGAAGTTGGAAGAAAAGATTTTTTTAGATACATACAATTTAAATTGAAGGTGGCATTATTACTGTAGGTATAGATTTTGGGATCATTTATGTATATATAACTGAAGTCTTACAATTAGGTACATAGCTAATGCAGAGAAGATGGAAAATGTGAGTTCTGTACAGTTCAAATTGCTTATTGATTTCTATATACATAGAGTTGAACTTGTTTTTGTGAATATCTCCCCTAATATTCTTAGACCAATTACAGACGAAAGTAGGGTTTAGGATCCTATTCTGATGGCACAGATGTTACCATGCTGTACATAAAAATGGGATTAATATTAAATCAATAGAATGGATTATACCCTGAACCTTATTATCATTATAACTGGATTATATCTAGAGCCAAATCATTTAGGTGATTTAGATGGTGAGATTTGGGAAGTTTGAGCTAATAAAATTTAGATGAGCTTTTTAGATTTTGAGTTGATGCCCTAATTTGGGATGAAACCTTTGGGGACCTTGGAGGGTATGAATGTTTTTCATCATGGGAAGGATGTGAATCATGGGGACCAGAGGGTGGGTAATGGTAGGTAAAACTTTGGCCTTTATGATCTTTGCTATTTGGTGTCATGCTTGTTGGTTATGTTATTTTACATGGTAAAAAGACTTTCTAAATGTTTTGAGATTAATAATTAGCTGACCTTAATAAAAGGAAGATAATTCTGGGTTATCTGAGTGGGTCCAATGTAACACCATGAGCCCTTAAAAGCATGAGTGGAAAGTTAAACAGGAAGTCAAAGAGATGTAGCAGAGGGGAGTCAGATAGACTTGAATTGTGAAAAATACTTGATATGCCATTGCTGGCTTTGACAGTGGAGGGGATCCCAAGCCAAGGACTGCAGGTGGGCTCTAGAAGTTGAGAATGAACCCTAGCCAACAACAACCAGCAAGGAAAAAGAACTTCACTCTTCCACCTGTAAGGAAATAGGTTTTGCCAACTATCTGAATAAACTTTGAAGTGAATCCTTTTTTTTTTTTTTAAGATTTTATTTGTTTATTTATAGCACATACACGCCCATGAGTTGGGGGACAGGGGAAGAGACAGAGAGAGAATCTCAAGCAGACTCTGTTGGGTGCTGAACCTAATCATGGCTCCATCTCATGACCATGAGATCATGACCTGAGAGGCAATCAAGAGTTAGAATCTTAACCCCCAGAGCCACCCAGGCAGCCATGAAAGTGAATTCTTTATGGAGCCACCAGAGAAGAGCCCTGCAGACTGACACCTTGATTTGGGCCTTGTAAGACCCTAGGTAGAGGAGAGTTCAGTCCAGATTTTCTCCTAGAGAATAAGAAAATAAATGGATGTTTTAAGCTACCAAGTTTTGGGGAATAGAAAATGAATACAATTAATGTTGGTGTCCCATCTGATTAGAAATAAGTTAATGTCCTAGACATACACAGTGTTTAGATCTCACTTGGTTACACTGTGTCCTTGTGGAAGAGGAAGATGGGCAATTGAAGAATTGCAGCAATAAGTTATGAGTACTTCCAGTATTAGGGTCTTGGGATACTTTGAGTATTGTTGGCATTTCTTGAGAATGATGTTTCATGGTTGACGTCATGCCAATTAACAGATACAATTTCCTTAAGGAACAAGAATGCTTAAACTTTCTTACTGGTCCTTTCTCGATTCTCTATGTCCCTTTTCTTTGATATATTTGGGAACCACGTTCCTTGGACCTTCTCAAAGACCTGTCAATTCTTATACATACATGTAGATATATTCAGCCACTCAACACTTTTAAGAGTCAATAAGGACTGATTAAGTACTATTATTTGCAGATTTCCCCTTGCTTTTTAATGGACTGGCTTCTGCAGGACTGGGGAAGCTCTAACATAACCCAACACCTCTCTCAGCTCTAGTCAGCCTTTGTTTCCGAGGCTGTTTGGAGTAGGGTAAATATTAAAATGGAAAAAGTATTTAATCGTCAAAGTAGGCTCAATCAAGGAGTCATTAGTATAATACCATTATACTATTAACAGAGATAACAGAATTTACCTCCATCTTTTCTGTTCTCAGGGCCAAAGCATAGGTATGACTCTCCTACCTTGTTATGTTTCTGACATCTCTCTAAATGCTAGTGTCTTAATCTTGTTTAGTTTACATATTAATTGAATTTTATCTAGTTAAATTACGTTTGAAGTAACTGTTTTCATTAACTGTGTTGGTGAAATCATCAAAACCTCAGTTTACTTATTAATTTTATTCTACTCTTTTAGGTCTTACAGAACATTTTCTGTATCTTGAGAGAAAACTATTTCTTTAAAAGGAGAAATAAATAGGCTCATAGGAAAATCCCTTAGGAATGTGAATCTTTTTCAAACTGTAAATTAATATTTTTGAAAAATAAATGTAATAGTTGATGCATGATTCACTTGATAGCTGTGGATGTGAGTGCCCTGAAAAAATTCTATGTCAGAACTATGGTTCTGCCATTTTGCATTTTTTTTTTAAGATTTTATTTATTTATTCATGAGAGACACACACAGAGAGAGGCAGAGACACAGGCAGAGGGAGAAGCAGCAGGGAGCCTGACGTGGGACTTGATCCCAGGTCTCCAGGATCAGGCCCTGGGCCGAAGGCAGCACTAAACCGCTGAGCCACCCGGGCTGCCCTATTTTGCATTTTTTTTATTGTAACTTGCTTGATGGCCAGATCTGACTATTTTTCTTTCATTCTTTTTAAAATTAGGAATTATGTACCCCTGGTAAATTGCATTGCAACAAAAATTCTAATTTTGCCTCTGGTTCCATAAAGCAAGAGTTAATGCAACTGAAAATGGTACCCAGCCAAATCTGGGTTAAGAAAGGTTAAAAACAAATAAACAATGTTACTTAGCAGCCATATTTATTCTAAAGACCCATACTGTAAAAATGGTGACTTTGGGGTCCACAAATGGGGACCAGGGAGGTAGAACACTCAGTACCACTTTTATCCTTTTTTTGTGTTTAGTATTGCCTACAAATTAACCTTCGACTTTTGTTTTATTTTGTTTCTAGGGTTTAGAGTACTTAATTCTGTAGAACAGAGTGAATGTTTAAGGAGAGGTGTGAAACTTAAATATGTAAAACTTAAATATGTAAAAACTCTCAAGAGTTTCCATGTTATGTGCTAATATTATAGGCAGTACTAAAGTGCTCAATTTAGGCAATACTAAAGTACTCAATTTACAACATACTACCTTATTTTTTTTTTAAATTTGCAAGATATCACCCAGTTTCCACATTATGTGCTAATATTATATTCTAATAATCATGAAAATTATCTAACAATCCTATGCCTAGGATTATTCTCTGAGATGGTACAGCTCTTATTCTGCACAATCTTAGTGAGTGAACTCTTTGCTACTGTTCTTCATCTAGACAATTGTTGAGATTTGCCATTCAAACATAGGGCCAGGACTTAAACAGCTTCAGCTAGCTGGCCAGCTGTCTGATGAGAAACAATTTGAAGAGACACCTTGCCTGAAGAAGGAATTAATGAGCACTTGGAATAAAATAACAGGAGGCAAATCATTGACAGTAGGTCTGATCAGAAAGTCTTGGAATTCTACTAGAAAGAATGTAAGGAAATAATATTTCATTTTGGGATTTTGTAATCCCTTAAATTCATATGAACATTCTCCAATACAGATTCTTACTTAACTTTTTTGTGGTCTTCAACCTATATAATTAACAGAACCAAACTCAAAATTAAACCATTTTTCAGCCAGAGCCTTTGCTGTTGAATGCCCTGAGGGCATTTAGCAGTTCACCTGCATATATGTATATTTATGTACCTCCACTAAGTCAAATTACTTTTTCAAGGATTGTTACATAAATAGAACATAGGGGATCCTGGGTGGTTCAGTTGGTTAAGCATCTGCTTAGGCTCAGGTCATGATTCTGGAGTGCTGGGATTGAGCCCCATGTCTGGCTCCCTGCTCAGCATACATAGTTTATAAAAGACATGCCTTATGGAGGTCAAAGCAAATAATCACCTCTTATCACCCCCTCCTTCATCCTTTCACCTCTGCCCTGGATCCCTGCCAGCCCTCTACTCTGAATAGAGTCCAGAGTCTCTCATCTTTTAATGTACATACAAATCACCTGGAGAGTTTATTCAATCATGATTTCTAGACACTACCTCCTAAACATTATAATTCAGTAGGTCTAGGGTGGAGTCTAATAATTTGCATCTCTAACAAGCTTCCCGTTTATGCTGATGCTGCCATTTTGGAGCTACAGTTTTGTAGCACTAGACAACTATACCAACTGGCCTGTAACTAAGGGAAAGATGATAATAAGGCTGTTGAATCTCTTGGATCTGTGGGGTGGGGAGAGGGGGGAAGGAAGTAAGAGTGCTAATGGAAGTCACTACCTTTAATGAGGTCTCTATTACAAAACTACCTTTTTCCTTTCACAGAAGCAAATCCAGAGAAATTCAACAGTCGTTTTCGAAATAAAATGTTCTATGCAGGGGTAAGTATATATTGTATTTTATAAGTATTATGTATTATTTAATACTAATTCACCATTGATAATAAGGATGCTAACTATGTTAAAAATAATTACACATCTGAGATGTTTACAAGTATGTCTATATATGATTAAGGTTTAATGTCTTGGTTTAAAATTAAGATGTGTTTAAGTTGGTAGAAAGGGAGCTGGTGTTCATCACTTCGAACTTTAAAGCCTAAGGCTACATGTTGTACTGAGGGGATGATATTCAAGGAGTGACATGAAAAACATCAAAGCCAATCTAGAGAATGAGACAGTTAGGCAGACTTAAAAGATGTATGGAAAGTCTTGGATAAGAATGTGGATTGCATAGGAGTTCATATGCATCCATGTTTGGATGAGAAATTGACAGAGGATGGGCAGTTTCTCATGAAAGGATATATGTGAGTAAAGGAGATCTTTTTTCTTTCTTCTCAGGAATATCCCTGGGGATGCATGACCATTGACGGGGGGAAGCACCTCTAAAATATTGATTTAAAGAAAATATAGTTTAAATTTATAACACTGGATAGACAATTGAAATAGAAGAGGAAAGGGTGAAGCAAGATGTTCTTAGTGGCAAGTTAAAGATGATATCAACACCCTATGGTCAAGTAGGAGGTCAGGAAAGGTCATCAAAATCAATCTTCAAACTGGCCCTTGGAATTATCTACTTTTTCACTTTTCTATTTGTGTTCTTAAATTTTATTATAGGTTATAGTTTGAAAACAAAGTTTTCATCTTGACAACTACTGCATTGCATTTTGTTTTGGATTTAACAAGAAAAGAACTTGTTTTATATTTTGAATAATTTAGAAGCACTAGGAACTATTTATAACATGGAAGCAAGGACTTGGCATAACCATGTGATTAAATTTGTTTTTTTCCCCTTTATTTCCTTGTGGTATAGGCAGCTTTTTCTGATTTCCTACAGAGAAGTTCTAGAGATCTATCCAAACATGTTAAAGTTGTTGTAAGTATTGAATGTGTTGACTCAGTTCATTTGAATATAAATATGTATGCTGCAAATAATGTACCCCAAATACCAGTTTATATACTTAATCAGTGGGCTGCCTTAATTCCAGAGATCATTTAATATAGTTCATTCAGCCAACATTTCTGATAACATAGCTCTGTATTGGGAACTGTCTTAGTTGCTGGGATGAACAGACAGTTAGTTTCACTCCTGAAGAAACTCACAGTTCCATTACAGAGAGGGCCTGTAAGTCACTGCATAACATTGTAGTTAGTGTTGTTGATTATGCATGCAATATGGTGGTGGCACAAAAAGGGGAATGGAAACTGATTATGGTGGGTTCAGGGATACTTTCATCAGAGAAGTGATGTTGAGCTGGGTCTTGACATAGAAATAGGTGCTCACCAAATAAATATCTTTATTTCAGGGCTACTTGATGAGACTCCATCTTAGAAAAAGACTCTTAAATACAGAGAACAGGTGGTTGCCACAGGGAAGTGGGTGGGGAGATGGGTGAAATAAAAGGACCTAAGAAGTACAAACTTCCAGTTAAAAAATAAATAAGTCATGGACATGAAAAGTACAGCATAGGGAATATAGTCAGTAAGATTATAGAAATGATATTTGGAGACAGATGATTTCACTCAGTGAGCACTGAGTAATGTATAGAATTGTTGAATCATCATGTTGTACATCTGAAACTAATAACACTGTATATGTAAATTATACTTCAATAAGAAAAATTCATAAAATTCATAATCACCAATCTGTAAAGCATGTATGAGACATCAGTCTCCTGAGTCAGTTGAAAGAAGAGAGAAAAGCTATTACCTCTAGTGTCAAAGGCCATTGGCATCACTTTTGGGTAGTTTAGTTCTCATGCAATAGCAGTGAAAACAAGCATCTCCTAGTAGTAGAGACTCTTTAGAGGGGAGGTACTGCTTTCTTAAAGCTGGAGGCAAGAAAGACAGTGGTCCACTGAACTATGAAGATCTTTTATTTTTATTTTATTTTGATTTTTTAAGATTTTATTTATTTATGAGAGGCAGACAGAGAGAGAGAGAGAGAGAGAGAGAGAGAGAGAGAGGGAGGGAGGGAGATGCAGAGACACAGGCAAAGGGAGAAGCAGGCTCCATGCAGGGAGTCCAATATGGGACTCCTATCCTGATCCCAGGTCTCCAGGATCAGGCCCTGGGCTGAAGGCAGCACTAAACTGCTGAGCCACCCGGACTGCTCCTGAAGATCTTTTATTGATAAAATTATGGTTATTAAATTTAAGTAATAGTGACCACCCAGTGAAAAATGAACTTGTCCTGCTTTTCCAGTATTTTTACATTGAGAGGAAGGGCAGCGACACTGCCCAGGGGCAGTGGCCATATTGAATGGCATTTACTGTTCAAGTCAGCTGCAGTGAAATTAAACTCTGTATAGTCCCTAACTACTAGACAGTTTGTCTCCACATCTAGCACTCCCCCTGATGACAAGTATCTTGTACATAGGTGACTATATAACAGGGATTAAAAGAAGCTTACAAAGAGACCAAAATGGCACCCAGATAACTAGGAAAGATAAGCTGTCAGCCAATACAGGCAATATTCCAGGTGAATTGGTTTGTGTAATACCATCTTCTTTTTTTGTGAGGAGAAAAAAGATTAGAAACAAAATAGAAATATTTGGGATTCAGTCCTAGGTCCACCTTTATGAGATATATGACTTTCGGGGAACCAGGTAACCTTCCAAAAGAGTTTACTTGCCTCATTTAAAACAGGCATAACAGGACATGTCTTTGAACAACAATTACTGACCATTGTGATGTGTCACACAGGGATACAGAATATTTCTATGTTTTCTTGAGTGAGAGATGGAAAGGATAGAAGATTAGCTAGAGCAATTTAATGTAATAACAGACTGTCTCATTTTTGCCACAGGGTGAAGTCAGGTGTTTCTGAGGTAGTAGTTAATCTCTCGCATAAATGTAGAGTAGTTTGCATGACTACTACATCAGAAAATCATAGGACAATAACAAAATCCTATGTACAGCATTATTTGTCCTCCTTCCCATGTTTTCTTCTTCTTATGACTTATCAATATGTGAGCTTCTGTATAGGAACATATTTTATGTGTAGATATTTTCCTTTGTGTGTTTGAAATAGGAAAAAAGTTGAAAGCTGCTGTTCTTTTTTTTTTCAGATTTTATTTATTTGAGAGATTGAGAAAGAGTGAGAGCATGGGGGTCAAGGAGGGGTGGAGGAAGCAGCAGACTCCCATCTGATCAGGGAGCCTGACTCAGGACTCCATCCCAGAACCCTGAGATTATGACCTGAGCCAAAGGCAGATGCTTAACCAACTGAGCCACCCAGACACCCCGCTGTTATTCTAAAGAGACACAAAATTTAAAGGCAGCAATATGTAAGGAAATTTTGTGAAGCATGAGAGATGGTAAAGTGCCCTCTTTTATAATTTGATAAATTCCCAGAATCACTAACATGTTTCTCAGGAAGAAAAAGTAGAAAATTTAAAAAGATTTCCGTTCTAAATATGATAATTTTATAGTTTTTTTTTCTGTAAGGCAAACAATACTGCTTTGTATGCTATTAATGTATCACATCCTATTTTTAAAGTTTTAGTTACTTACAACACTCAATTTTGATACTTTAAGGTATCTTCCTTGGTATATTCCTCTATCAATCATTTCAAGTCCTTAAATTGGGAGACTTCATGTTTTCTTGGTGTCTGAGGATATTGTAAAAACACCTTCAATCAATGTCTAGAATTTGATTCCTTTCTAAATCACCTTTTAAAATATTTTGTTTATTTAGGGCTATAATATTTCCTGGAAACAATTTTTTTGGGGCATGCTCGTTAAAATTAGGCTGCATTAAGATCAGCTGGGAAAACAACGAGAGACAATAATGCTAGGAGAAGCACTGTTCTTAGATTGTACACTCTTTTGAAAGAAGTCTTTAAAAATTCACAGGGGGCTTGGGAATGCATTACTCTGCTCTCCAAAGGAGAAGATAATGGGGAATTCTGTGATGAGGGTATGAGGAGAGCAAATACAGAAGTACACCTTTGACATTGAGAAGTCTATAGTTGTGACTAGAATTTTCTTCTTTTGACTTTTGTCACCAGTGGGAAATGAGAAAAGAAAATGAAAGCCTTTTCTTTGATTAGTTGGAGGATGCTCAAGGGAAGTGCTAACCATGAGGGAAGCTCCGTACAGAGATATTGGGGCCAAGCCAGCCTGAGGCCTTTGAGACACCTGGGGTCATTCATGTCCAAATCCAGAAAAGCAGTTTATCTCAGAAGACCAGTCAAAGTCTGTAGGACATTAAATGTGTAAAAGCAAATCCCGAAAGGAGATACCACTGATTTACAATAGTTTTTTTAAAGCTTGCAGGATATATTCCTCTTAAACAGTTTTCAAAATGTTATGTTTAGTGTTTTCAAAATAAAAATTATTTTCAGAAAGCAAATAGAATAAATGGTTATATTCATCCCTATTGTTTGGATTGGATAACTGTGGTGGAGATCACTACAGCCTGAACTCAAGGCTTCCTTTTAAAAAAAAAAAGATTTTATTTATTTATTCATGAAATAATAAAGAGAGAGGCAGAGACATAGGCAGAGGGAGAAGCAGGCTCCATGCAGGGAGCCCGATATGGGACTCAATCCCGGGACTCCAGGATCAAGCCCTGAGCTGAAGGCAGACACTCAACCGCTGAGCCACCCAGGTGTCTCATCAAGGCTTCCTTTTTATGCCCTTAAATGTTCATAAATCTTTTAAGGTTGATACAAGTCAAAATATCTAAAAATCCAAGGTTAAGAATTATGGCAGTTCCTTTGTTTATGAGGCCAGAGAAAAATTATTTTGGCAGCTTTGTTTTCCTATTAAAATAAAACCATGCTCTGAACCCTGGGTCTGCTAAAGTTGTAATCAGAATACATTTTCAGTCACAGTAATGACATCCACGTAAGCAGAGTTGAGGGCAAGGGGAAGACCGTGATATATACCACTGTGCCAACCTAGTTATCTTTGATAAAATTTGTAGACTTGTGACTACTTCAAAAACCCCTTTTCTACTCTGATTGTTGCAGTGTGATGGAACAGATCTCACTCCAAAGATTCAGGAACTGAAGTTCCAGTGTATAGTATTTTTAAATATACCCAGGTAAGCTCTGCTCATCCTTTTTCTTTGGTTTGATATGAACTCTGTTTGACATGAGGTTATCAGTTTTCATTATAGGAAATGTTTAGGTACAAACAGTGAAAGTAAATTATCTTACTGACTCATTAGGGGTTTTCAGGCCTGATCATTTTGTTCTCGGTTTAGTTAGTGTTCTCTGTGGTAGGTGTTTTTTTTTTTAATGCGATGTGGTGTGCATGCTATATACTTATCCATCGTTAAGAAACCCAGGCACCCCTATTTACTGGAACATTTTAATATAATTCTCAATTACTGATTCTCTCTCCCTCCCAAGAATAATAGACTTGAATAAATCCCTGTTCTCAGTTTCCTGAAAGCTGTTAGGAAGCCATGCAGCCTGATTTTAGCATGGAACTCATTCAAAATTGTTGCTAGATGATTGCTTTGAAAAAATAAGATCAATTAGAGGAGCATTTTCTAGCCAGGATGTCAACTCTCTTTGGTGCTATTATATACCTCTGGAGAAAGGGGTATTTAAGATTAACTAGACTCAAAATAAGCACATTATCTCAGTGGTACAAAATTAGAGTCTAGACTCCCAAGCCAAGATTTTGGAAGGGATGAATCTATGACCCTTTGTTATTTGCAAACCACACAACTCAAGACTCAAAATCTGCAGATAAGTTCTATTTAGACTGAATTTAATTGAAATGAGAGTTGTATGTAAATCTATGGCTAGGAAAACAGTTTCTTGATTATTTTTGGCAGTGCTCAGCAGAGTCACCTACAATCTTATTTCAAAAGGTTTTCATCTTCATTATTTCCATAAAAGACCTAGATTCTCAGGAAACATTATTTTCTCAGGAAACATTATCTTCTTTATTTTTTTTCCTCTTTTTTCCTTCTTGCTGCCCTCCTCTCTATTTTGCTTCCTCTACGTTTCCAATTTCCTTTATTTCTCTTTCTTTTTCTTCATCTCTTATCTTTTCCTCATACCTTTCTCACTCTTCCTCAGCTACCTTTCTCTGCTTACCTTCCTGGTGGTTATTTATTATCTTAGTTATGCACATAATGACCAATGTGTACCCACCTCCATTTCCTGGCCCTTTTCTGCTGGCATGCAATGTCTTCCTCTGAGACCAAATTCCGGAACTGCCCGTGGATAACTCACGACATATCATAGACAAAAACATAATGGATCACTGAGTGAGAAATGTTAATAAACAGTGAGTTAGGGATATAGTTGGGCACCATGAGGTACTTTTGTTATAAAATTGTGACCCATTTTCAAAGATGAATATTTGGAAATGATAAGTCCATTTTCTTTTCTATTAGAAGGTGTGCACCAAGAACAGGAAACTGTTCTTAAGTGAGATACATGTTGGATCTTACTGTAAGGTAATGCCTAGTGACAATCATGAGAGAGATGGAATAAATTTAATTTTGTGTTTAATCTTATCTTGCAGATATTGTGCTGGCACAATGCCCTGGGGGAACCCAGGAGATCACCATGATTTTGAACCTCAGCGTCATGATGATGGTTATATTGAAGTCATTGGGTTCACTATGGCCTCTTTGGTGAGCAATGCAATATTTTATTGAAATGAAATATATATAAGTTACAGAGCTTATTGATTTCATAGATTTTGGGGTTTTAGCCTTTAATTTTCTCTCCTACTTTACCAATTTATGAACTTTATGCAATATAGGATTGTTTGAGGAAAACAAGAAAAAAAATATGATTCTTTATGTCACGAAAGAAATTGATGCACAATTGTTTGAATTTCAAAAATAAATATTATTTGTTCATTTTCCTGATTAATTTTCTACCAGAATGAAATACAAACATTTTTATGGAAATTAAAAAGCATTATGCCACAGACATATCTCAGCATTAATGCAGAAACCTTGCCATTTGATACCTTTTTTTAAAGTTTTTTTTTTTATTCATTTATGATAGTCACAGAGAGAGAGAGAGAGAGGCAGAGACACAGGCAGAGGCAGAAGCAGGCTCCATGCACCGGGAGCCTGATGTGGGATTCAATCCCGGGTCTCCAAGATCCTGCCCTGGGCCAAAGGCAGGCACCAAACCGCTGAGCCACCCAGGGATCCCCATTTGATACCTTTTTGTTTCATTGAGTACCTACCTTTGTTTAGGTAGAAAGGAAGGTGGTCATTTGCATTCAGCTTTATCTTGCCTGGTTAAGAATAAGGTGGATAGCTCCATTATCACCAAATACAGGAATAAAGAAAGACATCATTATTGTAACAATAATGAATATTCATTTGCTACAGCGCTGAGATCATCTTCACATTTTAATTTTGTTTGCTTGCATTAGATTGTGAATTATAGTGTAAGGGCAATTTCAAACAGGTTTTAACACATATTTCAACTTATTATTGAATGATGAGGAGACAAATTAAAAATTATGCTTATCATCTTATCTAGTATAAATCAAGCCACAGGGATGCCTGGGTGCCTCAGCGGTTGAGCACCTGCCTTCGGCCCAGGATGTGATCCTGGGGTCCCGGGATTGAGTCCCACATCGGGCTCCCTGCATAGAGCCTGCTTCTCTGCCTGTGTCTCTGCCTCTCTCTCTGAGTGTCTCTCATGAATAAATAAATAAAATCTTAAAAAAAAATAAATCAAGCCACACTATCGGTTTATAAAATGAATTAAAAAATTAAAAGCTTCTCCTTGCAGCCCATGGTTAGCACTTGGTTTGTGCTATACCTTATGCTTGAAGGTAAAAAGGTTATATTTCTTGCTCCGAGCAAGCCAAAGCAGCTTTCTTTGTCACTCATCTTGTGGATTCCTACTGACTTTTCCTCAATCACTTCAGGTTACTGCGATCTGGTAGAAAAGCCTGTTGTGATTGTAGCAAAGTTGTCCATCACCTGAGATGGTGATGCTCCTCATGAAATCCACCCTCTCTGGGATGAAGTGATTGTTACGTGTGATAGATTTGTCTGGGAGTGATGTCATTTTCAGGGTTGTAGCTCAGGTACAGCTCTTTCTCTCCAAAGGTCTTTATGGTAATTAAGGCAAAGACTCAGCGGAGAGCAAATATAGGAATAAATTCAAGAAAGATATCTGCAAGGAAGAATTCTTGAAAGCAACCCCCAAAGCCTCAAATCTAGCCACATGTGTTTCACTCATTCATTTATTCATGGGTTCGGTGAACATTTATTGAATGTTCCAGAGCTTCCTACTCCTGACTGTGTGGCAGCAGGTTGTTAAGGGATGTGGGAGAGAAGATGATCCTTCACCAAGGCTTGGGAGGGCAAAGAAAATATTAGTTACTTCCGCATCACTCTCAGGATCAAAATCGAAATGTAAGCCTGCAAGATTGAATTTCTAACTCTCCGGCCTTTCCACTGCCTTCTTCACTTTCTAACTCAAGTAGACTCTCAAGTCAAACTCAGCTTTGAACATCTCTTGCTGCTTTTGTACCACAGGGCCATTGCATATGCTTTTTTCCTCTCTAAAATGTTCTTCAAGTCTCCATCTTCTATAACTTCTCAGCTCTATCTATGTCAGGTCTTTCTTGGGTTATTTTTGTTTACAGTTGCATAGTATCTGGACGGGAAGGAGATAGCTGAAACTGGGTAAGTAGAGGAGAGTTTGTGGAAGGATTCTACAAATATTGAACTAATTGTGAGCAGCAGCAATGGATGGTGGTGTATTCCTGAGCTCAAGGTGCAAAGATAAGGAAGCAGTCAGCTGCACAAGAAGGAGAATTATTTGGGAAGTACCTTGTGATAGGAGTAATGTTTGCCAAGTGGAAGCAGTCAGTCAGTGGCAACCAGGCAGGGAGGGAGCCAGAGCCCTAGATATAGTGACTTGACTCTTCTTGGCCCTATAGATCTTTTTCTGGTGCTTCCCTCTGGAGAAGTCTAACCAGAAGCCAGGGAACATGCAGTTACTGCTATAGTCAAAGGGGGTCAGGTTCACAAGGCAAGATGGAGAGCAGGAAAGGGTGGAGTGCCAGCCAAGCATGGCAGGTGGTGGATAAGCATCAGTCCAGTGTGCCTTCCACACGAGACAGATTGATAACTTATATTGGCATAAGCAAATGTGGCAGAGCAAATTAATTTTGCCAGGAGAAGAAGAGCGGGATTTGGCATTCTGTAGAAAGAGAAATTTATGTACACTTGGAATTGTGAGAGATCCTAGTCCTCTGTGGGAACTATAACTCATTTTAAGGGGGTGAAAAGTGAGGGTGGTCGATGATGCTAGAGAGGTAGGCAAAGGCCAGATCATGGACTGATTATAGGATTTATACAGCAGTTTTGACTTTATTCCAAGGTCACTGGTGAATTAGTAAAGTGTGTTTTTAAATAAGTATTTATTTTGAAAAGAGCCCAATATAAAAATAGACAAAATAATATATTGAACCCTCATGTGTCACCACCTAGCTTCTATAATATTCAAGACATGGGCAATCTTCTATCTCCACCTATGACCGCCTCCCTCATACTAATGTGAAGCATATCTCAGGCATTATATCAGTTACTTATAAATATTTCTGAATGTGTTTTTAAAAGAGAAGACTTATTTTATGAACACAACTATATACTTTATATCTGAAAAAATTAAGGCAGTTGCATCTGAATATTACTAAGTGCTCAAATTTCCAGTAGTCTTGCAAATACCCTTTGTTTTCTTATGCTCTGTCAGTTTGAACCAGGATTCAAGTAAAATTTATTGATAGTAATTGATTGATATGACTCATGTATCTATGTATCTATATATTTCTGCCTCTTTACCCTCTTCATTTATTTATTGAAGAAACCAGGCTATTCATCCTGTAAAATTTCCCTGAGTTTGAATTGTGCTGATAATATTCCTGAGATGTCAATTAACATGTTCTTCTCTCTTGCTGTTTCCTTTAAGTTGTTTGTTGGATGTAGATGCATGACTTCCATCCCTATCCCCCAAATCTACTTTGTGGGTATTATTTTCTTTTTCCAAAAGAGAATAGGTAATATCTAGTTGTCTTTCTTTTTTGACTAATAGTCCTTGAGGAGCATTGTCTCGATCCAGCAATCATTAGAGGTTGGCAGAGTAATGATATTCTAATTGTATCCTTCTTCATTTATTAACTGGAATATTGTTATGAAGAGTAATTTCACCCATTATTTGGGTACTCAGTTGCATAACTTATGTAGGAAAAGTGGGATAACAGATTCTTTTTATTTATATGTTTTCAAAATATAGATTCACTAGCACCTTCTGATGGTGACCATTGTTTTCAATGGATTTGGATTTTTTTTGACACTTACCATTACAAGTTTGGGTGTATGTACCCTCTCCTCACATCTGGGGAGGCTTACAAACACTTGGCAAGTCATTGGGATGCCTGGGTGGCTCACCGGTTAAGCATCTGCCTTCACGCTCAGGGTGTGATCCCGGGGTCCTGGGATTGAATTCCGCATTGGGCTCCCTGCAGGAGCCTGCTTCTCCCTCTGCCTGTGTCTGCCTCTCTTTCTGTCTCTCATGAATAAATAAGTAAAATCTTTAAAAAAAGAAACCAAATACTTGGCAAGTGAGGTACAGTGGAAGTGACACTAGGTAGCTTGGGATGCTGGATCATGAAAGGCCATGCAGCATATGGAAAATACAGGTCATACTGATGGTCTCTAATTAATAGGAATTTTATACATTCTAGGTAATATTTTTAGCTCCTTCATTTATTTGTTTATGTAATTTAAATTCAGTTAGCCAACATATAGTACATACTTAGTTTCTGATGCAGTGTTCAATAATTCATCAGTTGTGTATAACACCCAGTGTAGTATCTGTTCTTATCAGTTTAATATTTGTTATTTAAAATGTCTCCCTGCTTTCATTCATTTAATGTCAGTCATAAATATTTATTGAACATTTGTTGGAACCACAAATACTTATTGAATTCGTAAATGACACTCTGCTACGTAGAACAGTTATGAGAGGGACCCAAAGACAAGCACTGTCTTCAGGGTGCCCACACACAAAAAACACGAGAGTTGTGGTCTGGCATCATAAATTCTGGGAAAAAAGGCATATGTGAAGATAGAAAAAGAACTGAAAGCAGACCAGTGTTTATAAAATGGAAAATAAGCAAAAATTGCACAGAGGAGGCAGGAGTGGCTACAGATGAGATTGCAAGTATCATTCTATGAGAGAATTAGCCTAAGAGAGCATGGTATTCTAGAGCTCTCATGGTGGTTTAGTAATGACACATACAGTGAAGAAAGACATGTGTGGAGGAGAAAGGATGGGACAGGGACAATATTTTGTAACTGTTGAGAAGGTTGAGAGAGACAGAATGAGGCAGAATCAGATTTGTGGTTTAGATAGATTACCTGGATGTCTGTGTGGATGATAACCAGAATCTCTACTGCTGGAGGCAGATTGACAAAGTAAGATGTTGGTACCAGAGTTCAGGTGAAGAAATGAGAAAGCCTGGAAGCCCGAGGGAAGAAAGTGATAATGAAGGTGGGAGGACAGGCAACTTCAAGAGTTATTCAGACAAGGTAACTTATTGTGAAGGGTGAAAAAAAAAAAAAAAGAATAAATGAATCCTGGCTGGCTA